TATCTTGTGTAAGAGTTGCTGCCCTGCTTCTACCCCAACTCAGGCTTTACTTACCCTTCTGCTTTTTTTTTTTTTTTTTAACCATTTCTATTGTCAAATATAACAAACATAAAAATGTACAAAATATAAACGTGTATAAAATATAAACCTGTGTTTCATTTAACTGTTCAAAAACATCCTTACCGCCAATTGCTTACTAATTAGAAAGTTCAAAATTAGTATGTTTACAGTGGAAGTACCTAGCAGTCACCACCTTATAATCAGTGATCAAAGTTAGCAATACCAACACTGGGACAACTTACTTATTTACATAATGACATATTTAGCACTTTGTATTATGCTTAGCACTTTATATTATACACATATTGCCCATGTAGTTTTCTTGCCAAAACTGTTTTTCTGTATTTCATGAGTAACCAGACAAATCCTGAAAGTATATATTCTATTAAGCCTAGGTTTTAAAAATGGTAGTTTCAAAAAATAGAGAGTGGGGTGCAACCATTCGCGAAAGAGATTAGAAATGGAGGACCCTGATAGGATTCTAGACTGGAAATACATTTTATAAGCCGATTTTGAGATAATTTGGAAAATTATGGAATTATTTTAAATTGTCTAATATGTCATGGTTGAAATGTTCATGAATGGAATGGAATGTTAGTAAAGATTTAAAATGTGCAGGATGTTAATAACAAATCTAGGTGATAGGTGTTCACTGCACCATATTTTATTTTAGTTTTCCTATGGTGTTGGAAATCCTATTCAAAGAAAAGTTGAGGGAAATTTTTTAGCTAACAAAGACTTCAAAATACATAAGTATTCGAATAATATTAGGGAAGATGAATAATCTTAGAGTAGAGGAGATATTTGATATAGGTATATTTGGCTCTTTAAAAATAAACATAAAACTTAAGACAAATAATATATTACAAATAGAATAGATTGATAATTTTTGTAACCCAAAATACAAGTAGTCAAAAATCAAAAAAGTATAGTCAAAAATACATAAATACTTTTACAAATTAATGAAAGAGAAAGTATTAAACTAGAAATAGGGCAAAGACTAATTTATGGAAAATTCAGATGGTCAAGTCTCCCTACATTTAAAATAATTCCGAAAGCTATGCCCTTTTATTATATCAGAGGCTGACAAAAGAGCAGTAGGTGGTGTTAGGTTGTGGGGAAATGTATAGCTCAACACATTGTTATGAGACTGAATGTGCTATACCTGAGAAATAATAGCTTTTATAAGAAAAAATACACATACTCTGATATAAAAGAAAATCTTACAGAAATAAAAACACACATGCAATTATTTGCATATACAGGTATTTATTGACAGTTGTTTGAAACAGCAAAGAACTGGAAACAACATGTTTATCAACAGAGGAAAAACTTAAGCATGTGGTATTTCTACATACATAATCATCTGCAGCTACTAACACTAAAATGAATGTTAGATCTACATGTACCTGGGGAGATGTCCATGATGTATTACACAGGAAAAGTTGCAGATTGATGTCCATACAGTGATCCTTTTTAAATATATAAATAACCACAAACAAATACCACCTACAGATGTGTTCATTTAAACATAAACTTATGAAAAGGTACTCTCTAAGCTTTTAATATGTTAGCTTAGGAAATCAGAAGGTTTTTTTTTTTCCCTTTAATGTATATTTACTATAATTTTTTGTTTTGGGGAGATGCATAATGTTATTTCAAAAGAGCAATTCAGTCAAATAAAGAATGTGTACATAATCACTTAAATTTAATTTCCAACATTTTTATGAGGAGAAGTAAAAAAAAAACTGTTGAAGGAGCAAACAAAGCAATGGATGGAATAATGACCCATTTGACCATCTTTATTTTTCTGTTGTACATATTACCTTAGAAGAAAATATCCAATTTTCAATTTGATTTATGGACTAAATAAATGTGAGAAGGCCATTTATTTCACTAACATGCCTTTAAAATACCAGGAACTTGACTTTTTAAAAACATCTCAGGTTGAACTAAGATATGTGTGTGTGCTGGTGAGGGGAGAAGAAAAGACTGTGACAGACTGTTAGCTAGAGGGATTGTCCTTCTTTAGTACAAAAAAGATCCTACATTTAAAAATGAATATGATTGGCTTGCAGAGAAAGTATTTTGCTTTCCCTAAACTTAGTTGGCCACCAGCTATTATGCTTAGAATTTCCACCCCGGGGTAATTCTTTTTAGTTGGAGCAGCTTTTTTTTTTTTAAACTTAAGTTCTATTTTTTTTTTTTTTTTTAAAGATTTATTTATTTATTTATTTATGCAAGCACTGGGCACAGTCAGAAGCGCGGGAGGGTGAGAGAATTCACCAGAGTCAGAGCGGGGAGCAGAGCAGGCAGAGAGGCCGAAGTACACTGCTGAGGGAAGCAGCGGGCGGCAGGAGATGTCTGCGCGCCATGTGGGACCCTCACCCGGAGCAGCCGGGGATAGAACCCGGCGCTGCAGAGGCTGCGGGCAGCTTCGCAACCCAGCGCTCAACCGATGCGCCACTGGGGAGGCCCAGTTGGAGCAGCTTTTACAAAAGTAGTTCATTTGCAAAAGATATTACCATGTATCCTAAGAAAGGAGTTGTGGTCAAGTAAATTTGGCACATGATGGGTTAAAGTAAAAAAAAAAAAATACTGCTTTACTGTAATTTTTATTGTAGCAGTGATAAAATTAACTTATTGCTCCCAGAAATAATGTGAAATATGTAGTGATTTACAGATTTTACCAGAAAGGGTCCCCCCCCCCAAAAATATCATCTGTGTTCTAATATTACTTGAAATATACTGTGATAAATTTTAGGTTAATATATTATCTTTGAAATTCAATCATTAACACACAAATACAGTCCTAAGTAAAGGAGTTAGAAATGAATAATTTTAAGGTAGCACATAGTACACTTACTCTGACATCATTATAAAAAACATTTTTCATATATACCAATCATGCAATCTAATGAGCAGTAAGTTTTATTGATGATGTAATGAATTACAAAACCTGAATAAAACAGGTTGGATAACAGTGGAGGCCTGAGTGACTCCATAGCAATGTTCTCTAGTATTTTTTGGTGTGTAATGACTAAAGTTTGAACTCTTAATTTGCAAATCACACACACACACACACACACACACACAGAGTATATTTAAAGTTTGAGTATTGATAGTTTAAAATTTGTTAAATAGTAAAACAGGTAACAGTTAATAGTAATGTTAAGAGAGTGTGTCCTGAAGGGCTCATGCTCAGTGAAATAAGCCAGAAAGAAAAAGAAAAATACCAGATGGTCTCGCTCATAGCAGAAATCTAGAAAACTTAAATAAGGGACCAGGAAAATGAATAACTATAAGAAAGTGAAAATCAAAATCAACAAACAACTATGAACCAGAGACACTCTATGGGGGGTGGGGGGCGGGGAGGGGAGGGATTGGGGTCAAAATAAGGGGGTTGCAATTGTATGGGGAATATAAAAATAAAATTTATTTTAAAAAAATAAATAAATAAAATACAAAAAAAAAAAAGTGTGTCCTGGCTGGAAAACTTTAATACGAACATCATTTTTAGAGCCACTCAATTTATGATTCAAATAACAAGCATTTGAACAACTGAAAATCAAATATAATTATTAATGTTATTTTAATTTTACTTTGGCTGTTAATGTCAATGAAAAATCCTATTTGGGAATTCTCATAAGAAAAGCAAAATATCAAATGCCTAAAAAATTCATGATGGGAAAAATCCTGAAATTATTTAACAAAATTTAAAGTATTTAATAAAAGGAAAAACAAAGGTTTATATTTATTTTTGTATACCAGAAGTTGATTCTGTTTTGGTGTCTTTTCTTAAAAATACTAATTTTGCAACATGACTATTAAGCATTTAGCTAAATGTGTTTCCAGTGAACTTCTCCAATAGTACCAAATTAAATTTTACAAAATATATTAGATAGTGATATGAATGCATTTCTTCATTTGGGTCACAAAGAAGCTTATTTATAAACCATAATATTTTGAAGCCAAAATGAATGATATTGACTTGTTGACTGTCTCAAGTCATTTTTCCACTATAATCATCTCTTAGAAATATAATTACTAAGTTCTAGAATTGTGCTTAATCTAGAAATGCTTAAATCTTAGATATTCTGGATAAGAGGTTATCCTTAGTAGTCCTTTGTCTGGCAAATATTCACATTTTATTTTGTGTATTTGTATCTGTTATTTATAGCTGTTACCCATGATTATCTGTTCTTTAATTTTGATACTATGGCTATGCTAGTGGCCTTACAAAATCTGTTTCAGAAATTTTATCAGGGGGTGGGAGGTCAGAAAATTTCAAATGAAAATCTACCGGAATTAAATTCCAGGAAAAAAGTACTTCACAGCTCATTTTGAGGACAGTATTACACTGATATCAAAATGATACAGACTAGACCAAAAAACAAAGAAAATGACAGAACAATCTCTCATAAATTTATACACAAAAACCCTTAAAACAAATCTTAGCTAATCAGCTCTAACAAGGAATTCCATAACCTGACTGAATGTAATTTACTACAAGTATATAAGACTGGTTGACATTTAAAAACCAATCAATGTAATCAACCATATCAACAGGTTAAAGAAGAAAAATCATAATCATACCGATTGCTGCAGAAATACATTTGGCAAAATCCAAAATACATTTATGATTAAAAACACAAAATTTCCACATATTAGGAACAGAGGGTAAATCCTTTGATTTAAAAAAGTGCATCTCTTGATACATAAAACCTACTGATAACATACTTAGTGGTGAAAGACTGAATGTTTCCTCCTAAGATCAGAAACAAGATGAAGATGTCTGCTCTCACCAGTTATTATATATTACATTGGGGAATTACAGCCAGCAAATAAGGCAAAAAAGACACAGGCTAGGGGGAAAAAAAAACAAACCATATAATATATATATATATATATATATATATATATATATATATATATATAAAGCTGTCCCTGTTTATAGATTACATTGTCTATTAGAAACCACGCCCCACCCTCCAAAACACATATATTTGTATATAAGAGTGGTGAATAAATAATACACAGTTTTATCTATTCATCAAAAATTCTGTTGCTGAGAAGCCAGGTCAGCATGTCTGTGCTAGAACTTAACAACCACCATTTACAACTTTTGCAAATAAAATGAATCACTTAGGTATGCACAAACAAGTCATGTATAAGAGCTGTATGCCAAAATCAAAAATCCTAACAAAAGAAATCAAAACTGTATTAGTTTCTTGGACTTGACATAAATTACTACAAACTTAGGATTAATTTAAAAAAAATATTTTCTCACAGTTCTAGGGGCTAGAAGTCTGAAATCAAGTAATTTGGCAGGGCCATGTTTTCTCTGAAGTTTCTAGGGGAGGATCCTTTCTTTCCCCTCCTAGTTTTTGGTGATTGTGAATAATCCCTTTATGTTCCTTGGGTTATAGATACATCATTCCAATCTCTGCCTCTGAATTCACATGTAACTTCCCTGTGTGTTAGTGTCCATATACCTCTCTTCTTATAAGAGAAGTAATTAGAGTTGTGCATACTCTCATATGATCTCATTTAATTTGATTGCATCTGCAAAAACCCTTTTTCCAAGTAAGATCACATACATAGGTACCGAGAATTAAGACTTCAACATTTGGAGGCACATAATTCAACCCATAACAAAGACCTAAAAATGGAGAGACATACCATGTTAATGGAAAGGAAGACTCAGACTGGGAAGAAAGATGTCATTATCCCCAAATTGAATTCCTATCAAAACTTCAATAAGCTTTTTTTCCTGTAGATATATGAGAGTTTACTCTAAAATTTATATGAAATAGCAAAAGACCTAGAATATTTAAGTCAATTTTGAAAAAGAAATCACTCTGCCCAATATAAAGATATCCTGTGGCATGACAGTAATCAAGATAGTATGATATTAGCAGAGGGATAGACAAATGCATCAATAGAAGAGAAAACCCAGAACAGGACACACATAGATTTGTCTAATGGATATTTTAAGGGGGCAAAAACAACTCATGAAGGAAAGATAACTTTTTCAACAATTGATAATGGAGGAAATGGACAACCATAAACAAGAAAGAAAACCAAAACAACAAAGAATACCAAACTCAAGCTTACAATGGAGGCAAAAAATGAACTCAAAACGAATCATAGACTTATAAAACCATAGAAATTTTAGGCAAAAAAAGAGAAAATCATTGGGACTTGGGGCTTGGCAAGGAATCCTTAGATTTCACATCAAAAATAAGATCAATATAAGGTACATTTGATAAACTAGACTTTATCAAAATTAAAAATGTTTGCTCTTCAAAATACTCCACTAAAGTAAGTAATGTAAGCTATGCACTGAGGGAAAAAACTGCAAACCACATATCCCACAAAGAACTAGTATTATCTAGGATATAAAAAGCACTCTCTCAAAAGCCAACAGAAGAAAAAGTTAAAAGAAATAACCAGGCATTTCACCAACAATTAAAGCACACGAAAAAATATTTAACATCATTAGCTACCAGGTAAACACATATTACAACCACAAAGAGCTATTACTACATGCCTATTGGAATGGCTAAGATAAAAATTAGTGATAACACCAAATTCTGGTGGAGATGCTGAGAAACTGGGTCCTTCATGTTTCTGGTGGGAATGTAAAATGGTAAAGCCACTTTGGAAAATGATTTGTTCAGCTTGTATAATAGAAAACATGCGTTAGCTTTAAGACCCAGAAATTGCTCTCTTAGGCACTTATACCATGGAGATGGAATTTTATTTTCACACAAAAACCTACACACAAATGTTTATTAGCAGCTTTATTTCTAATAGTCAAACACTTTTTTTTAGAATTTCCTTTTAGTAAGAATTGTATGATTCAGAACAAGTCATAACCACACATTAACTAGATGAAAAGTTTTGCTCCAAAATTATTTATCTGATGTGTAGAGTGATGAAATACTTACTTTATGTATTATATTTGTAGAGCCTTCATCTCATTTAAATTCTGTAATAGTACACATTTAAAATACTGAATAAAAATATTTACAATAGCTAACATTTATTAAGCATAAGCTATACATTACGTATTGCATAAAGCTTTATATGTATTCACTCCTTTGAATTTCTGAACATTTATGGTAAGATGTATATTAATGTTTTATAAATGAGGAAACTAAAGCAAACAGGGTTAAGTAAGGGCTTAAGCGCTAAAGGTTTGCCAAAGGTATACACACATAGTAAGTGGAGTTCAGATGATATGGAACAAAAAAAGGATGCTGAATATGGTTGATCTCTTGTAAGAATTTACTAATGTCTAACAGGGATTGAAGTATGATGGAAAGTGATTCTGCAGGTAGGTTACTCTAGCCTTCACTGTGAATTCTCTGATGGTGAGTTTTTTACCAGTGAAAATAAAAAATGATTTCCACATTCAAAATCTGAATTTTATGATATTCCAACTCTGAGTGTCATGGGCAGACTGGTAAAGGTTTAACTAAATTGATATTTTCATACAGTTTTGTACCACTGTGAAGTTTCTGATGTTGAGTAAGATGTGAATGCCGTCTAAAATTCTTACCACATACGTTACATTTATAAGGCTTCTCACCAGAATGAATCCTCTGATGTTGAGTCAGTTGTGAGCCACGATTAAAGGCCTTCTCACACACATTACATTTGTATGGTTTTTCACCTGTGTGAATTCTCTGATGCTGAGTAAGATGTGAACCACGAATAAAGGCCTTCCCACATTCACTACATCCATAGGGTTTCTCACCAGTATGAACTCTCTGATGATAAGTTAGCTGTGAGCCACGAATAAAAATCTTACCACATTCTGTACATTCAAATGGTTTCCTTCCAGTATGAAAAATCTGATGTAGGCTAAGCTGTGAGGTACAAATAAAGATCTTACCACACTCCTTACATTCGTAGGGATTCTCACCCGTATGAATCTTCTGATGTTGAGTCAGTTGTGAGCCATAAATAAAGGACTTCCCACACTCTTTACATTCATACGGTCTTTCGCCAGTATGGATTCTCTGATGCTGAGTAAGATGTGAGCTACGAATAAAGGCCTTCCCACATTCCTTACATTCAAAGGGTTTTTCACCAGTGTGAATTTTTTGATGTTCAGTAAGTTGCGATCCACGAATAAATGATTTTCCACATTCTTGACATTCATAGGGTTTCTCACCAGTGTGAATTCTCTGATGTCGAATAAGCTGTGAGCCATAGTTAAAAGTCTTTCCACATTGATTACATTCATGTGGTTTCCTCCCTGTATGAATCCTTTGATGTTCAGTAAGTTGTGAGCCACGAATGAAGGACTTCTCACAATCCTTACATTTATAGGGCTTTTCACCAGTATGAAGCCTATGATGTAGAGTAAGCTGTGAGCCGTAACTAAAGGCTTTTCCACATTTCTTACATTTATAGGGTTTCTCACCCGTATGAATTCGCTGATGTTCATTCAGTTGAGAGCCACGGATGAAGGCCTTTCCACATTCCTTACACTGATAGGGTTTCTCTGAAGTGTGAACTCTCTGATGATAAGTAAGTTGTGAGCCACGAAAAAAGGCCTTCCCACATTCATTACATTCGTAGGGCCTTTCACCTGTATGAATTCTTTGATGCTGAGTTAGATGAGAACCACGAATAAAGGCCTTCCCACACTCTTTGCATTCATAAGGTTTCTCCCCAGTATGAATTCTTTGATGATAAATAAGTTGTGAGGCACAGATAAAAGATTTTCCGCATTCCTTACATTCATAAGGTTTCTTAGCAACGTGAACTCTCTCATGGTAGGTAAGTTGTGAGCCCTGAATAAAGATCTTCCCACATTCTTTACATTCATAGAATTTTTCATCAGAATGAACTTTCTGATGTTCAGTCTGTTGAAAGCCATGTATAAAGTATTTTCTGCAGGCTTTACATTCATCAGATTTCTCAGTAGAATGAATTCTCTGTTGTAATGCAATGGATGTGTTCTCATTAAAATTAGGAACATCTTCATAGGTCACTACTAGTTGCCTAAAATGTCCCTCTTTATTTCCTGATTGGCTTTCAAATTTGTCTCTGCATTCCCTATTATCTTGAAAACTTTTACACTCATATTTATGGCTTGTAAGTTGCTCTGTTATGTCCCATCGAGATGCTTCTTTTTCATAAGTTTTTCTTTTTGAAGATAGCTTCTTGGACTCACACCTGGATACCCAGTCTGTAAAATGACAAGAAAATTAACAAATGTTATTTTCATACTCTTGGAAAAGTGAAACTTTAAGGTAGAAGCAGTAGACTCAAATGTAATATAATACTCTAAGATGTCAGTAGAACCCATGGAGTAGTAAAGAGAAATCCAGAACTAGCCAGTTTATAAATATAGTATAAAATAAAGTTGGCTGCTCAAATCAGTAGTGAAAACATGTAAAAGTGATAAAGAAGGGTAAATATAAAGAAGTGAAGATAAAATCATATTAATTTTTCAGACCATACAGCAGGATAAATTCTAAATGGATCAGGTATCCTTATTTACAGGGGAAAAAAGCATACAAATAACTACAATAAAACCTGGGTGAATTCTGTAACTCAGGAATGGGGAAAACATTTCTAATTATAACTTGATAAAGATGACCACATTACTGTTAATTGGCATGTCAAAAATGAAGTAAAATAATAAAATGGGAAAAATATTTGCATTTTATATAACAAAGGTGCAGCATGCCTAATGGACAGTTTCTAAAATTAGGCTGGCAACATTACATGCCACAAATGTATTTCTAGAAAAATAAGACTAGAGGAAAAGACTATAGACACTAAATAAAAATAGACTAGTGAAGCAGACAATTGATAGACAAGTAATGTAAATGGTTTTTAACTATTATAAGCAAAGTTGACTTTAACTATTGAAGGTAACTTTAACCATGGAGGTAAGGGCATGGAGAAACTAACCCCCATTCATTGCTGATGGGAATGTAAAATATGTAGCTGCTTTGGAAAAGAGTTTTGCACTTCCTCAAAAAGTTAACATTGATTTGCCATATTACTTAGAAATTTCATTCCTAGTCACATATCCAAGAGAAATAGCCAACATGGAGATATCACATAACCCAGGAATCCCACTCGTACATCAAAAGTTCTGAAAATGTATGTTCATATAAAGACATGTACATAATGTTCATGACAGTGTTGTTCATATTAACCAAAAGGTGGAAACACCTCAAACATCTGTTAATTGATGAATGAATAAAGTGTAGTGTGTGTGTATTTATACACACATATATACACATATGTGTATGTATGTATATACATAGATATATGTATTTACACAATATAATGTTATTTGGCAATAAAAGAAAAGATAGAATGATACATGCTATAATATGAATAAATTTTGAAATGTCCAGAATGGGAAAATCCACTGAGACAGAAGGATTAGTAGCTGTGTAGTGCTGGGGAGTTAGAGGAAGAGGAAAATGGAGCTGTTCTTCAGGTTATGACAGTTCTAAAAGTGACTAGCAATAGAGGTTCAAGAGTACAATTATATTAACTAACCATCAAATTGTCTACAATAAATGGGTTATTTGGATGGTATGAATTATATCGCAGCAAATTATTTTTTTTTAATAAAAACGACACTGAGATGCTATTTTTCACCCCTTAGAACAGTGAATTTCCAAATGTGACATCAAACTGTTACTGAAATGATAAATACACTAGTACTCTTACATTGTACATTGGTATATGTTAGTAAAAGTATGAAAATACATGCCCTATGAAATGGAATGTACGCTATTTAGCAAACCCACTCTGTAAAATCTATCCTAAAACTGTACTAGCAAAATCCCAAATATTCTGGTGCAGACTTTTCATTGAACTACAATTTGTTACAGATAAAGATACAAACCTAATTGTGATGGATGTGGTGTGGTAACATACATCTGAAGGGTGTGATCCTATACTTTTAAATCATACAGTGTTGTAAACCAATGTTACTTCAATTAAAAAAATAAATTAATAATCTAATTGTCCATCAGTAGATCGTGTGGTATATACACACGTCATGGAATAGTATGCTGTAGGATAAAAAGAAAGCTATTCCCTATTTGAAAATACAGTGGAAAATGAAAGAGAAGCAGGGAAGTGGTGAATGGAGTAAAGAAGTGACTTTCTTAGTTGTTGACACTAAAACAGTTTTGCCCTCCAACAGTCAGGCTTTTAAAACAGGCCTTAGAGTAAAAGGCCTTGATGGGGTTTGAGAATATCCAAGCTAATACCTTAAAGGTATGGCAAACTTACTAAGTAATCCGACTGACCCCCAATGGTCCCCTCTTGCCTGACCATCTCTTACTCACCTGGGCTCTGACTTCTTGCGATTTCCTGCACAACTTTCCAGGGTTCTTTTCCTTGTTCCAATAAGGAGAGTATGTCTGGCTTAGAAATGGAAAATCCTGTTTATAAAAAATGGAAATGGATATGGTTATACTCTGCTTGTCCAGAATTAAAATTAAGTCTAGTGTTCATCCGTTAGAAGGTCAATGACAGAAATGTTCAGAGGAGGGATAGCTGAAGGAGACAGGAGATAAAGGTGCCCAAATGAGCTGTCCATTTCCAACTGCAAGGCACAAATAAGTTATTTAGGAATAGGAGTCTGAAATTCAGCTGGGAACTTGAAAAGTTTCTAAAAGCTCACAAAGACTAAAGTCAAATTGTTGGAAAGCAGACCAACTTACCCAGCGAGACCAGATTTTTATAGTTCTCCAACATCACCTCTCTGTACAAATTCTTCTGTTCCAAGTCCAGGCACTCCCATTCCTGCTGAGAGAAGACTACGGCCACATCTCTGAATAACACCAATCTCTGAAATGAGAAACCCAAATGTTAACTGTGAGGAGAAGAAAAGTACTATAAAAGGTACAAAATTAAGAGCAAATATGTTGATGCTGGAAGCTTGCAATGTGGGTAAGTAATGGCAAGAAGTAGATAAATGTAGACACCTAAACAGTTCTGATCCTTTTCTATTTCGCTCTATCATAGCCTTTTGGGAACTTGTATGGGAATGAATAACACAGTTTGTGGAGTTTTCTGATTAAATAAAATAATGTGTGCATGATGAAATGAGAGAACACAGGCAGATTCTCAAGTCCTAAGTGCCTCTTCTTGAACCTTAAGAATTGAAAACAAGGGCCTCCCTAGTGGTGGCCCTGTCAAGCTGTCTGCAGCCACGGCAGCACGAGTTCAATACCCAGCCAGGGAGCTGACCCACATGGCGCAGCATACCTCTCCTGTTTCACCCACTGCTCCCCTCAGCAGTGTATTTCAGTAGATCCACCTTTTCTGTTCCCCACTCTTGCTGATGAATTCTCTCACACCCCCACACCTCTGGCCTACATCCCGGTTCTTGTATGCATAAATAAATACTTTTAAAAAATTGAAAACAGAACAAAAGGGAAAGGGAAGGAGAGAAGAAATTAAGGACGGAGGGAGGGAAGGAGAAAAAAAGAAATGATGGGCACCTTTCAAAATGTCTTTTAAAATGTTTATCTTAGGAAATAAGATGTACATATAAGAATTTCTTTTCAAGTCTGAATAATTTAGAAATAATATTCTTCCTTATCTTGGCAGATCCTTTCATAGACATTTTTATAGGCTACATAATATTCTACATTGTGATTATAATTGCTTTCATATTTTGTGGTAGTTTATGCTCCTTTCGCTAATGCCCTTCACTGCTTTGTTTCCAAAATTCTCAACCATTTAATCATCTGGCTGACCACGTTACCTACTTAATCATTGCTCAGTGTACCACTTTGCTTATTCTCAGCAACAGAAAGTTAATGAAAGATGAGTTCTGTGCACACAGATGTGACCCTGGCCTACAGATAGGATTCAAATTCAAAAATGACCTCATTGCTGATAGTCATCTCGAGGTATTCCCCAACATGATCCCCTGTCTGTTCATTTCCTGAAATTGGAGTGCTAAGGAGAACAGATGCTTGGATGCAGCTTAGTAAGCAGACTGTCAGGTGACAGAGATACTGAATATTCATCATGTCCTAGCAAACAGTGTTCGGTGAAGGGAAGAAGAAACACTGACTCACGTGGGACATGGCTTAGAACTGTAACTTATTAGTCCTCCTCTGGGTTCTTCTTGAAAAGTGCAGAGTCCTGAAAAGGCAGGAAGGAAAAAGGAAACCATGAGAACAGACTGCTTTTGCTTATATTGATATTTTCATTTCCTAATTTTCTTTTCTTTTTTTTTAAAGATTTATTTATTTATGCACACAAGAGCTGGGGTGCAGGCCAGAGATGCGGGGGGTGAGAGGATTCACCAGAGACAGAGTAGGGAGCAGAACAGTCAGACTGACTGAAATACACTGCTGAGGGGAGCAGCAGTCAAGTCAGGAGAGGTCTGCTGCGCCATGTGGGTAGCTCCCTGGCTGGCCAGGGATCGAACTCAAGCTGCAGAGGCTGTGGACAGCTTCATAGTAAGGTGCTTAACCTCTTGCGCCACCAGGGAGGCCCTCATTTCCTAATTTTCTTAAATGTTTAACTGAAGTAACACTGAGTTATGCAAGTTTCAGATGTGCATCACATACCAGTATCTGTGCATGCTGCATTCAGTTCACCACTAAAAGTCCCACTTTACCTGCCCTTCTTCCCCCTTTCCTTCCAATAATCATTAATTTGGTGGTCTGGGTTTGTTTTATTTAGTTCATTTGTTTATATGGTTTCTCTATATCACCTGTAAATGACATCATATGGTATTTGTCCTTCTTCATCTTACTTATTTTACTCAACATAATAGCCTCTAGGTCCAATCAGGTTGCTGCAAATGGCAGGATTTCTCCTTGTTTCTTAGTAGCTGAATAGCAGTCCATGGTATATACAGTCAAGTGTTACACACTAAGGTTGTTTCCAGTTGTTGGTTATTGTGAATATTGCTGCAGTGAACACAGGGCCGCATATATTTGTTTCATTTGCTATTTTTGTGGTCTTTGGGTAAATACCCAAAAGTGGGATAACTGGATCATAAGGAATTTCTATTTTTAATTTTTTGAGAGGTTAATATTGCTTTCCTTAATGGCTGCAACAATTTACATTCCCATCCAGAGTGTACAAGGGTTCCTGTCTCTCCACATCCTTTCTAACACTTGTTTTGTCGTTTGCTTAACAAAACAGGCCTGCTTTTAAATTACTAAGTTCAGGTAAACATTTCCTCCCCTTTTTGCAGCCCTGGTCCATTCATGCTCAACATATGTAATGAGGAGATCACCAATCCCAGAACATACTAGTGTGAAAGAATTAATTCTGGTTCTCCGACCTGACATGCATAGTTCACTTTTATAGCCATGGGGGTCCTGATCAGATTTATACAAACAGTACCCACCTCAAGGGTCTACACACAGCCACAGACTGGAGGATGGTCTGCCTGTGCACGGCAATTCCAGGAACAAATGCTTCTCAAAACTAGTATCTACCTCTTAGCCCCAAGCTCAGCACACTACCTCAGATGTCTCTGTAGCTCGTGCTCACGTTCCAGGTTCAAGAAACATTCTGCATCCAAAGTATAGGTATCACTCAGGTGAACATGTTACCACTGGCTGGTAACATGAATATTAACCAGTAACCAAGGAACACATCCAAAACATCCTCTAACAGAAAACCACCTGTTGGGGTAAACCATGGCCTCAGCTGCATTTAGGAACTCTGGGGGCAACACTCCCTTGTCATCCTGCCTCACATCATGAGGCTTCTAAATAGAAGGCTGAGGACGGCTTCAGAAAGTGACTGTACAGCATATAAATTCCTCAGAGCACATACTATGTGCTGGGTGCTTTATATACGTTAACACTTACCCGCAAACAGATGCGTGAATATAACTATCTCTCCCACCATACTCCTTTCCGCCACCGATAGCATCTTCCTTATACTTGTGTCTTTTTTTTTGACACATGACTTTATCGACATACCATTCACATTCCATAAATTCATCCTTTCAGAAGCACAACCGAGTGGTTTCTAATATATTCACAAAGGTGTGCAATCATCAACATTAATTTTAAAGTATTTTCAAAAACAAAATTAGCAAATTACCCATTAGCAGTTACTTCCCATTCACTTATTCCCACAGACTCTGGCAATCACTAATTTTTTGTATCTAGAAATTGCCTATTCTAGACATTTATAAATGAAATCAGGCAGTATGTTGTCTTTTGCAACTGGCTTTTTTCATTTAACATAATTCAAGGTTCATCTACATGGTAGCATGCATCAGTACTTCATTCCTTTATACTGCTAAATACTATTCCATTGTATGGCGGTATCACATTTTCTCCACCATTAGTTGATGGACATTTGCATTTTCACTTTTTGTTACAGTGAATACTATTAAGAATATTCCTGTACATGTTTTTTGTGTGGACACGTATTTTATTTCTCTGACATGGGCCAGGGAATGGAATTGCTGGGTCATATTGTAACTCACTTTGAGGAACTGTCACACTTCCCAAAGCATCTGCACCATCTTAACATTTCACTGTAACTATATCGAAGTTGCAGTTTTCCCACCTTCTTGTCATCTTTGGAATCATAGTCATCCTAGTGGTTTGAAGTGGTATGTCACTGCAGTCCTGATTTGTAGTTCCCCACTGATGTTGAACATCCTTATGTGCTTATTGGCCATTTGTCTGTTTTCTTTGGAGAAATGTGTGTTTGGATTCTATGCTCATTTATAAAATTTGGTTGTCTGTTTACCATTGAGTTGTAATAATTCCTCATATAGTCTGAGATACAATTCCCTTAATGAACAGATGATTTACAAATACTGGGCCCCACTTTGGTGGTAAATTTTCACCTTCAAAGCTCAAAGGTATACTTCAAAGCTCAAAATCTTTTAATTTTGATGAATTCCAAAGTCCAGTTACACATTTCCTTTGATTGCTTGTGCTTTGTGTCATTCATGAGAAACTGCTGCCTACTTAGATAATGGAGATTTCCTTTGTTTTCTTCTAAGAGTTTCATGGTTTGGGCTCTTACATTTAGGTTGACAGTCCACTGTGAAAAAATTTTTGAGTGTGATGATGTATGAGCTATGATAACATATTTCAGAGTATTGACCCAGGGCTAAAAAGTCTCATTTCCTCTTCACAGTTCGCTAAATGCCCACCCTGACTTCTTCCCTTATCAGGGTTAAGCATGACACAACTTTACCAAGTTACCCAGAGTTACTCCAGTAGTCTTGCTATTCTACACAATTTTTATAAGCAGGATTTTAACTGTATCCACCTTTTCCAGGAGAACAAGGCTCTACACTGATGCCTTCCTCCTGAGACTTACTTAACATATTCATTAAGGGTATGCAAGTACAGAATTGCTCACGCTCACACACATAGAGACGTAGGCCATTACGCATTACATAGTAGAAAGCCCTGGCACCTTGGTTAAATTGCTCTGTCAGTGTCAAGAAACAGCAAATGATCCTCTCAGCATCCAGAATGTCTTTTAGGTTTATGTCAGTTCTGGAGGCAACATATTTCTTGTTTACACATTTTACTTAATCCTACTGATGCTGTCATTTAACAGAACACGCCTTCTTGAATAGGACCCCCTCCTAAAAAGGTTGCAGAGTCTGTTCTACTTAAAATCAATAGTCACTCCTACTAGTGCACTCACAGGCTTGTCATTGTGGAGACTGTGGCAACCTTACTGCAGTAAGGTTGGAGTCTCTGGCCCAGCTATAACAGCCCATGGGCTTACAATAGAAGAAATGCCCCCTTTTGACCCTGGCTATGTTTGATCACAATGAGGATTACTGGCCATACACTTAAATCTTTTGGAAATAAAGGCCTTCACAGACCATGAACCTGTGACCCTCTGATGCCAGTTCCCCTCTATGCCTTGGTTTGTGGAAGAGCCCCCTCACAAACTCAGTACCAATATCCAGTCCTCTTGGATACACCCTGTGGGATGGAGTCGAACCTAAGCCTTCTGGAACATTTCACACATAGAAAGTTACAAAGAGGAACGAAAGTCTCCCTGTCCTTGAGTCCTTACCAGATGCCAGGGTGCTGGAAGAAGTCACCCCTTTCTCAAGGAAGCTCCTTAGGATTAGTGTGTAAACAGCAATGGGAGTTCATAGATGGTGTGGCTAGCACTGTCAGAGGCAGTGGAGCTCAGGAAAATGTTGCTTTCTTCCTTTAACTAGGAGTCCCCAGAAAAGGGCAGGATCCAAGGTCAAAAAAGTGGTGAAAGTTCAGGAAGTCATCTTAGCATTGAATGTCCTAGCCAACCAATGGCACCAAATGCATAGGTTTATAAACCTCTGGGGCCACTGCCTAAGATTTGTCCCCGCTGAGGGTAAAGAACTCTGGAAATCTTCAGCCTCAGGGACACCCAAGATATAAATCAAAGCACCCATATCTCTACATATACTAAGACAACAAGAGCAGGCCTCACCGGGTCACTCCTATTCCCTTCAGAGTCGCAGACATTACTAACAGTGGCCAAGTACACATTTCACTTCTCAAAACACAAAATACTGAGTTTCCAGGAAAGGCATCCAATGGAACTTTCATCTCCCAGGCAGCTGGCTTAATTAGAGGCATAACAGTCACTTTATTCCAAGCAGATTCCTATTAATGCCAGTCGGGCAAATGACCCCTAACTGTATTCTTGCCTCAAGCCTTAATCAGCCCCTTGGCTGACTCATATCTCACAGAAACATTAAGAAAACTCCCTATCACCAGCTTCCATATATGAAGAAGGATATGTCTTCCCCTCCATGTGTATGAAGACATCACTTAAGAGCCCTGATATAATGTCTAATAAAATATTTTCTTCACCGTATTACATGACAAGTGCTGTTTTCTCTAGAAGTCTAAGGAATTCTCGAGAAGTTGAACCATCCAACTACCCCAAATAACTACGCTCAGATCTGATGTCAAGAGATCAGAGGTTAATTGTAAATTATTTCACAATAGTTGTCTTGAGCCAGTTTTGAAGTCAAGGCTAAAAACTCTCACTTGCCTTTCATAGGCACTTTGCTAAATCCACACCCCAACCACTTTAACGCGGCTCCAACACTTGTGAGTTACAACACACATATATAGCCATAAATCAGAGGCCCCCCCAGATACAAAGCCCCTTCTCCTTGGGGGCAATGAAATTATACAAAATAACCAATCTCTAGCAAGCTCTGGAAACCTAGCTGACCCCACCCTATTAGCCATATATAAACTGCCTCCTACAGTTCCAGCTTCCTCCCTGCTCTGTGGCACAGTCCCTGAGTGGCAGCCTTCTGGTGTTTAAAGCTCTAAGTAACAGAGTTCTACCTTTCATCTTCATGATCATCTTTATGCCATCAAGGGAGTCTTAAAATCTTATACAACAGAGCCCAAATTCATTCTTTTGCAGGAGGTGCCCCAGTTGTTCCAGCATCATTGCTGGAATTGTTTTAAAAAGAGTTTTCTCTCTCTCTCTGAATTATCTTGAAACCCTTATTGAAAATCAATGACAAAAATTTTTATTTCTCAACTCTCAGTTCTATTCCACTGATCTTTCATGTCTATCCTATGTCAGTTCCATGTTGTCTTGATTACTGTAGCATTAAGTTGTGAATTGGGGAAGTGTGCCAGATGAGTATATAAGATAAAAAAGAGGTAAATGGAGTGTAATAGCCGCCTTCAGTCCCCAGTATTCTTTAGAATTGCAAGGCCCAAGGACCAGATCACTATAAGGATCCTTGTTAAGGAGTTTCAGGAATAGAAAACCAGAAAGAATTTTGCAACCAAAAGAGGTAACAGCAACTGACCTTATACAACGCTCTTATTATCCAGCAGTCAGTGTTTCCTTGTTCTCGGGTCGCCCGTGTGAGAGAAGGGCTTCTGTGGATAAGAGAGAAAGAGTAGAGGCCCAAACCTGCCTTTGAGCTGAAACTGACTTGTTACAAACAAACATCTTGTACTCACTCCCCTCGCACCCCTCCCTCAGCTCAAGTACTTTCAGAGGAAGGTGAGAAAGAGGCTTCAGCAATATGGCCCTCTTTGGGGACCAGAAGGGTGGGCTTTTCAGGTGGGTTCCTGAGGGGGGAAGAGAGGAATCTTACTCCCTTGGTTTTTGTCCTCCTCTCTTCTCAGCCCCCCACAATTGGTGATTTTCCTGCTTCTAAATAATCTCATTCTGAGATCAGGTATGTGGCTTGGAGGCATATCTCTGTATCTGGAACCTTAATTTTGGCCGCACCGTTTAATCTTCCCACATAGGACGCGGCCATTTCCAGGGAACCTCGGTCCCCGCTGGCTACAAGGAGAGGGGGCAGTCAGCCACAGCTTCCAGAAACCCCTGAACCTACAAACGGCCCCAGTGTGGGCGTTTCTCACCCTGTCGCCTCCCCGGTGCGCACAGACTAGGCATGAAGACAGTGAACGACACAGTTAAACGAGGGGTCATTTCGCACACCTTCATCGCACAGCCACCCTCACGACCGCAGACAGCATGACCACTCTCAAGGGGTGACACACAATCACGCAGCAGCACAGGCACATCACGTCTCTCTCGGGGGCGTGTAAGGCCCCCGACTCCAGACACGGCCGATCTCCGAGCCGGAGCGCAGGCACGACTCACCTTCAGCTCGGCGGGCGTCCTGCCCAGGTCCAGGCTGTACAGATTACAAACCCACAGGCCGCGCTGCCTCGGCGGCCGGGCGCCTCCAACTCTTCAGCACCGCCGCTCTGACAACCCAGAAGGGCTGACGTTGCGCCCGGAGGCCTCTGGGAAATGTAGTCCAGAACGAAAGACCCGAGAGAGGGGCCGCCAAGCCTGCCGATGCCTCGCAGTACAGTATTCCTCGGCGTTTCAGCCCCGACCTGCCGGTCCCGAGCCGACGACCGTCAACCCCTGCTGCCGCCGGAGTCGTGTCTGAGCTCTGCGGCGCCCCCACGGGTGGGCCGGCCGGAAGTTGTTTCCGCCGCGATGCCTTCTGGGACTTGTAGTGCAGCCCTGGTGGCCTTATGGCCCAGCGTGGTGGTTCTGAGCCCTGCGCCCAAGTTCTTTTCCCAGGTGGGACCCCGCTGTGGTCGGTACTCCCCAAACCCCGACTCGCCAAGACTGAAAATCCCGGTCGGTGGAGGGAATCCGGGCGAATTGAGTCAGGAGGCTGGAGGAGAGGCGCCGCTGGGCCCTCCCGCAGCCTGGCCTGCCTCTGGAGGGGGCGGGGATGGAGCGTGACCCTTTCCTGCTGGTGTGAACGCGTCGGCCTCTCTTTGTGACCATGGAGTGTGGTTCTGCTATTGTATCTGCGACAGCTTTAACTTAAAAAAAAAAAAAAAAAAAAGGACATTGTGGTGCTTAAAGTATGCTTTGAGAACGTAACATACGAAAAAGTGCACAGATCATTAAAATTGGTTAATTAACATTTCATGAACTACTCAGCCAGGGAATAACCAGCACCCAAAAATTAATTCTCTCCTGGTCTCCTGAAAAGGTATCCCTAGTGTGTTTTACCACAACATAGATTCGTTTGGCCTTGTTTTGAAGTTTACATAAATGGGATCATGTGTGTCTACCCTTTGATTTCACTTCCTTTGCCAAATATTCTGTTGGTGAGATTAAATAAAGTTAGTTTATCCTGTAAGCACACTGTAAAATGTTCTGGGAAATGACCCCTCCCTTATTCCAGCAAACAAGTGCAAGGCCATCTTCCAGAGACTTGAAGTCTGAAACAGCTATACAAAATCTGACGCATGGCGCAGCGGTTGAGCGCTGGGTTGCGAAGCTGCCCGCAGCCTCTGCAGCGCGGATTCAATCCCCGGCTGCTCCCCGGCCACCGGAGGAGGGTCCCACATGGCGTGCAGACCTCTCCTGCCGCCCGCTGCTCCCCTCAGCAGTGTACTTCAGTCCTTCTGCCTGCTCTGCTCCCTGCTCTGGCTCTGGTGAATTCTCTCATCCTCCCGCGCTTCTGACTGTACCCACTGCTTGTATGTACAAATAAATAAATCTTTAAAAAAACAAAACAAAATCTGACGCCTGTGCTTAAAGCAGGTCTTTTTGCTCGCACTGATAACCAACTGCCTGATAAGAATTTAACACTGGGTACCCAGGCTTTGCATCTCTACAGGTAGCTCTTTAGAAAGAAACATTAAATTGCCATCTTCTGTGCATAGATGGCAACAACCTATTTTTAGATTGAGACCACTTAGAACTAGAAGTACCCCTGTCAAGAATAATCTTATTTAATGTCAGTGACTCACTGTTCCTACCTATATAAAGTAAATTCAAATTTGTTGGAATAATAGTTGCAGATTAAATCTGTTGAACACTTCCTTAGTTAGAAACCTCACTTTGATATCTAATGAACTCTAATTATCCTTGATACTTTCTTTCCCCTTAACAGTATTCCATGTTGATGGTATTTGGCTTGTTTTCAGCTTGGGGTTATGTATTCTGAAATTCCGAGTCATGCATTCTGAAATTCTATTTGTGTTTTTTGCTGTGTATATATGTGCATCTTGATTCCATATACACCTAGGAGGGGGAATTGCTGGGTCATCAGTTATACATTTATTTGGCTTTAGAGATATTGCAAACAGTTTTCCAAAGTGGTTTTCAGATTTGCAATTCCATCAGCTATACACTATAGTTCTAGTTGCTTTGCTTCCTAATACATACTGAACATTGTGTCTCTTTTCTTTTTTAAACGTTCTGGGAGGTATGTGGTTTTTAATAAGATTCCCTGATGTGTCTATTTGTGTATCTTCTGTGACAGGAAGAGATGCCGGCCAGGTTTCACATCTATTGTGGGCAATCGGAAGAGGAACAAGAGGACGCAGACGCCTTTGCAAAGGTCTGTGCTGTTTGGACTGGTATTGATCCAATACTTCCTTTTTCTTAAGATTTATTTTTATTCATGCATACAAGAGCTGGGGCATGGGCCAGAGGTATGGGGGCAGGGGGTTGGTGAGAGGATTCACCAGAGACAGAGTGGGAAGCAAAACAGGCAGATCTACTGAAATACACTGCTGAGGGGAGCAGCGGGAGAGACAGCAGAGGTCTGCTGGGCCATGTGGGTAGCTCCCTGGCCGGGGATCAAACTTAAACTCATACTGCAGTGGCTGGTGATAGCTTCATAGTGCTGAGACTTAACCACTTGTGCCACCAGGGAGACCCTGATCCAATACTTTCAATACTGCCTCTTTTCAGATCCTTACCCCTTTAAAAACAAACAGGGCTAGAATAGAAGCAAAGGTCCACCTTTCTTCAGAGGGACCCAAGGCCACATGCACTGGTAAAGGTATGTTAGGGACTTGACAGTGACCAAAGTTGGTAAACCATTTAGGCTCTTGAGGACATTGAGTCATAAGTTACTGTGGTGCCAGGAAGCACTCATGGGTATGGTAAAAACAAAAACCAAAAAAATAGATTTGGACATAATTCTCAGATTGGACAGTGCACTGGCATAATTTTGTGGGTGGGCCCTTTGGGGCCAATGCCCACTTAAGTGCTTATAATGGATACTACTGACTGTATGGTGGGCGTAGATGTGTTAATTACAGGTAGTAATTCTCTTATCATAAGGATGTTCCCAATGAGGAAAACACCACAACTAGAAGAGTAGTGGTAACAAGTACTCAAACTGGAGCCTACCAGACTTCTCCATTGTGGTCATGTCAGTACTGTGAGTCAGCAGAGGATGTTAGGGAAAGAAATGCAAGATTTTTGTTTTGTTTTGACCTTTTTAATTGAGATAATGTTAGTTTGCAACACTTTATAATTCAGGGGACTAGTTCCTCAGATACCTGTTACCTTTCCACCCCCACCATCAAAGCATCCATAGTCCTTTTGTTACAGAGCAACCCCAATATAAAATGGGTTGCCTCACTGTGGGTCCTCACCCATGTTCTTAAAGGGGACTTATTAATGCTAAACTGCAGGCACACACAAAAAGTTAATAAAAGATTTATTTACAAGGGAAGGAGATATGGGGAAATGAATAATTCAGGGAGAAAAAAAGGGAGATAAGTTTGTAAATGCATCCTACCCGTCCACTGACTTGGAATCCCAATGACCAACCGAGCTGGTGAAAAACCACGTGCTGTTGGGCCAAGAGCGCAACCCCCCCCCCCCCAATGGCTGGTTAAATATTCAAACAGGAAACATGGCTGCTTAACTCTGCCCTCAGGTCCTCACAGCCTCCCTTTGGGGATCATGGGATTTATAGTTCCCAGTGTCTTAATAGAGTTGGGGTGGAGTCCACAAAGCCTGGATGGAGTTTGCTCAGGACATCCTTTCCCCTTAACAATTTATCCTTGGCCATTGGGCCCCCTCCCTCCCTCCCTCGCTTGCCCTCTGGCAGCCTTAATTTTACAGGCTATTTCTAGGGTTTGGTTTGATTTAGTTTGTCAGTTTGTCGGTTTTATTTGTCTCTTCTGTTTCACATAGGAGTGAAATCATCTAGTATTTGTCTTTCTCCTTTTGAGTTATTAGCCTGACTCCCTCCAGTTCCATTTGTGTTGTTGCAAATGGCAAGAATTCACCTTTTTTTAATAGCCGAGTTGTATTCCATTCTGCATATATACCATATCTTAATCCACTGGTCTGTTGATGGGCATTTGGGTTTTTTCTATAACTTGGCTATTGTACCAGCAGGAAAGCAATATCTAAATGGTGTTCAAATACCTTCCGACAGATGACTTATTAGTTGTAGCAGCAACAGAAACTATGAGATAGAGAAATTTGACAATATGTGAGCCAGCTAATTAAAATACCATTCTAATGAGAAGCAGAAGCAAATTGCATGCTCCCAGATATGGTGTCCTGAGAAGGACAAAATACCATGTATTTGGTATGTGGGAAGCATGACTTGAGCTTAATCATGAGGGAATAATCAGAAAAGCTAAAATGAAGGACATTTTATTTTAAAAAAGAAAAGGGCCTTTAATTCTTCAAAAAATTATAAACTCATTACAATGGCAGTCTGATGAACTGTTAACAATTTGAAGGAAACTAAAGAGAAATGCAAGTTAAATGCAAGGTCAAATCATAAACTGGATGCTGGGTACCTGCCCTAAAGATACTATTGAGACAGTTGACACAAGTGGAATACAAAGTCAATTAGATAAAAACATTTATCATTTCCTAAATTTATTATTTCATTTTATTTTTATTTTAAAAAATATTTTATTTATTTTTGCATAGAATAACTGGAGTGTGTAGGCCAGAGGTGCAGGGGTAAGAGACTCACCAGAGACAGAGTAGTGAGCAGAACAGGTGGATCGACTGAAATACACTGCTAAGGGGAGCAGCGGGTGAGACAGGAGAGGTCTGCTGTGCCATGTGGGTCAGTTCCATGGCCAGGATTGAACTCAGGCTGCAGCAGTGATAGCACTGAGACTTAACCCCTAGACCACCAGGGAGGCCCAATCATTTCTTCAATTTAATTAGTGATGTTGAATTAATTTTAAGATAATATTCTTGCTCTTAGGAAGTAGACAAAAAAGTAGTAAGGCCTAAAGGGTCTTAATAATAAATCCAATCTATTTTTAAAAATTTTTATGGAGATAATACTAGTTTATAACATTATATGTTTCAGGTGAGCAACATTCTCGTTCAGCATGTCAATATACTACATCATACACTAATCAGTAACTAAAAATAACAAGAACAAATGAATGAATAAAGACATAATGAGTAAAATAAATGAATTAAAATAACTGGTCTGGAGAAGAAAAGTCCCAAATTTTTAAAGAGAGACACTTATATAGATCAAAATGCAAAAGAAGATGAGGGGCCATGTAAGAATCACATACAAAATAAAGGCAGAACTTGATCAGTGAAGAAGAATCAGGGCTGTGTTTCCTACTTGGAGAAGAGAAGGGAGCATTGGGGAAGAGAACCCATGGGCATAGACAGGTAGAGGTAGGAAGTCTGGAACATTTGGTGCAGAAGTCTCACTTTATAGGTTGTTAACAGAAAAAGACAGTTTCCATCAGAAGCAACTTGGTTACATCCTTTAGTCCCTCACCTTGCCCCACCATCCTTCACTTACTTAGATGCAGTTCCCTTGTCAGCTCTCTGCCAGCTGTCCAGCGCTCTTTCTGTGCTCCACGAAGGACACTACGTCTGGCTCAGGACAGCAGAGTCCTGCTCCCAAGAGAAATGGTGCCGAGTTTTGCTATAGAAGGCCCAGAAAATCTAAGAGGAAATGTCACTAATAGAGAGGACAGACCTTCAGCCCCAGCTCCAGTGGAGTCACACACCTTCAACTACAAAGCTCAAGCCCTTTCTCTGGGGACAGGAAAAATAAATGCATGGGAAATTTGAAAGGAACTGAGAAATTGTCAACAGGAGAAAACAAATATTCCAGAAGGAAGCCTGAATTTTTAGGGATAGGTATGCTTACCAACTGAAACCAGGTTGTTACAGTTTTCTAGAATCACATTTCTATATGAATCTGTAGTCTGAATCCAGGTGTTCACACTCCTGAAAAGAGTCTATGGACACATCCTTGGATATCACCAACCCCTGAAACAATAAATCGTTGTACTGTGAACATAGTAAGAACAAATGTTTTTAATATGGGAGGAGAGGGGCCTCCTTGGTGGCCTAAGGGTTGCTTAAGTCTCAGCGATATCACTGCTATAACCTGAGTTCAATTTCTGGCCAGGGAGATGACCCACATGGTGCAGCAGACCTCTCCTGTCTCGCCTGCTGCTCCCCTCAGCAGTGTATTTTAGTTGATCTGCCTCTTCTGTTCCCCACTCTCTCTCTGGTGAATCCTCTCACCCCTGCACCTCTGGCCTACACCCCAGTTCTTCTACCAAAAAAAAAAAAAGACGAGAGGAGAGAAGGAAAAGGTGAAAATGGAGAGGTAAAGGCCACGTTTATAGGAAAAGATACAGGAAACAGGCTGGCTCTGGGTGCCCAGAAGTCAGCAGGATGTAGCTAGGTCCTCAAACATTCCATTTCCTGCAGATAGATCAACCCACCTATCCCCATTAGGATATTTCCAGTATCTAGCTAGGTCTGTAATGTTCAAAGTCTAACCAAGTGGCACTTCTCTATTATGTGAAATGGCATAAGCCACTCTAGTCTTGTTACCCCTGGTGTATAATAGTCAATAAATGGCAGTTATTTCCACTATTCTTTACCCATTTAGAGCTAAGGGGGAAAAAGTGATGAACTTTTCAAAATATCTTAGAGTAAAATTTGAGAATAAATAAAGAGACTATTCTTCAAACAACAGATGAGAAAATACAGGTCCTGTATTTTCAGGGATCAGAAATGCAGTAGACATCTAAACATCTCTGTTAGAATCAAGATGACAACGGAATCATTTATGCTGTAGTGTACATCAAGTTTATTCTAATGTAGAATGTTCAGCCCATTCTGAAAGTTACCCTAGGATAAGAATGACATAAACATATGTTTCAAGGAGAGTTTCTCACCTTTGGCAGTGTTGATATTTGGGGCTGGATAATTCTGTGTTATGTGTGGGGCTGTTTTATGCATCACTGGATCTTTAGCAGCAACCCTGACCTTTCCTGCACTAGATGCCACAGCACTTCCAGCTCTTACAACTAAAAATATCCCCAGACATTGCCCAATGTCCCTGAAGGCAGTGGGGGTGGCAATAAAATTGGCCCTGGGTGAGAACCAGTTTAGACTCTGAACAAATGAGGGCTCAAACTATTTACCTCCTACTTCCATGGATCTTTGCTTGGAAGACACTGATTGTGCACCCTAAAAACTATAGCATAAACCTTGAAACAGTTAAACTGCACACAGTATCCAGATAGGGGAAATAAGTATCACAGGCGAGAGGCCAGAAGTTGCTAGTATAGGGCCTCCCCGGTGGCACAGCGGGTTGAGCGCAGTGCTGTGAAGCTGCCCACAGCCTCTGCAGTGCGGGTTCGATTCCCGGCCAGCCAGGGAAATTCCCACATGGCACGGCAGATCTCTCTTGTCTTGCCAGCTGTTCCCCTCAGCAGTGCTTTTGGCCCCTCTGCCTGTTCTGCTCCCCGCTCTGTCTCTGCTGTGCTGCACTTCCCCCTGCAGTGACCCTTAGGGCTAATGGCTTGCGCCACGGTCCCTAGGTCCAGCTGGGCAACCAGCGCGCAGGGGGAGAACAGCAAAACCCCCTGAAGACATACCTGCTGCACCTTCCCCTGCAGTGACCTCTAGGAATCCCTAGGTCCGGCTGGGCAAGGAACCAGCTTGCAGGGGGAGAACAGCAAACTCCCTGAAGACATAGATAAGACGGAAGCCTGTTGAAAGATAACGACCACCAGGAGCCACTACAGGAATGCTGTCCGCACAGAAACTTATCTCACCTTCTCAAGGCCCACAAACTTTATTCTAATACAACTGTCTCTCTAAAATCTTTTCTCTCTCTCTAAAATCTTTTCTCTTTCTCTGTCTAAAAGGTCATTGGTTTGCTGATTAAAAAATAACATATAAAATCTAATAACTAGGCTAATTCAAATGAAACGTTACTAAACTCTGTGTATTAATAGAACTGTTAGCTTAATAATTTCTCTGTTGTATGCTTAGCCTTGTTAGTATTAATCTTAATGATAAAAATATTACATTGTGAAAAGTAAAATTCACCCGTGTTAATTAATAGTAATTTAGTGGTAGTGAGTAGTTTAAACAAAAAGTATTCACATAAAATAAAAAGAAAAATTAATAGCCTAACTACTTAGGAATGCGCCTGAGTCCAGATGTAAATCACTGCTCTGTCAATGATAAGCTAAACCTATAAGCAAGCTGATTTCTTCACTGATGTTCGCCTTTCCTATGCTTTTAGAAAACAGATATATACTGGTCACCAACTCAAATTAAATTACACTCAGATTTTCACTCTTGAAGTGTGTCTGTTTGTCATTTCTTTAACCGAATCCCTGACCACCCTGCGCAGTCTCTCAACCCTGAGACGGCCTCATCGTTCACTGCTGTGCAAGTCTGCGGCACTGCTGAGTCCTTTTACCCTCCCGCACCTCTGGCCTGTACCCCAGCTATTGTATAAATAAAAAAAAAATCTTTAAAAAAAAGAAAAGTTGCCAGTATAACTGGGGGAAGAAAAGTAACAGGATAACAACCTCATCGCAAGTCTAAAGAAAAAACAATCAGGACAGGATAGCAGACTACCATTGGTAGCCAGAGGGAAAATGTTATTGAGAGAACTTGACAGTGATGTTTGAACCTGATCCATTTTCAAAACCAAGTCTGGATTCAAAACTGCAACAGCACCAGCATGTCCAGCCTGCTCAGCACTGTCTTATGCTGGAGCTGTACTGGCAAGCTCTTCTTGCTCTGACTGTTGCTGGCCAGATTTAAACATGATCTGCATGCCTCCGAAACTGCTGAGGTGTTTTTTTCTCCTCTCTATCTTTTTTTTCTTTAAACGCAAACCTGGCCGTGGGGGTTTGACCATCAAACCCTGCTGCCCTGGCATAGCCCAGGCTGATGCTGCTCAGCTGGCGGCCCCTGCCCCTTTAGAGAACCAGAAGCGTGGAGTTCTACTCTTACAGGGTTAAATGTACAGCAGAAAGACTGAACTTAATCAAGATTATGAGCCCAAAAAAAAAAAAAAAAAGATTATGAGCCCAGATGGGCCCAGACTAAGGCCCCATATCAAAAGCAAGGAGGTCATCTCTCCCCTAATCGTACCTGATGAGTCAGCCCAGTGTCATCACACATACATCATTCTCCAGAAGTGAAAGGGGGGGTGCACTGAAAACTGAGCCCAACTCTCAAAAGAAGGAGAGAGTTACAGCGGAAGCTTACTGAATATAAGACTTCGTGGCATGGGTATGCTTATGCCCATTCAGGCCTGGTCCACAGGTATACTCCCATACTGTGGGCCTTTAAGCCCAAGGAAAGCTCTCTCCTCCTCCCACCGCCCCTCCCATCTGTGGTAGGGATTGGGGCTGGGCAGATAACAGACACAAGATCACCAACACAGCTAAACCAATTTTAGCAAAGGGCATATTTGTGCCTGCAAGTTGGGGCTGTTTGTGAGGCCTAAACTACAATCCCTAGAATCCTGTGAGTCTGCTTCCCTGCTACCCGAAATAGCACCAGTCCAGCTATTTCACATAAGACAGAGAAAAAAAACAACTGTTGGCAAGAATGAAATCAACTCTTTTTTTTTTTTTAAACACAAGGGCTTCCTTTTTTTTTTTTTTTAAGATTTATTTATTTATACAAGAACTGGGGTACAAGCCAGAGGCATGGGAGGGTGAAAGAATTCACCAGAGACAGAGCAGGGAGCAGAACAGGCAGAAGGACCGAAATACACTGCTGAGGGGAGCAGCAGGCGAGACAGGAGAGGTCTGCCACACCATGAGGGAATCTTCCTAGCTGGCCGGGAATCGACCCGGTGCTGCAGAGGCTGCAGACAGCTTCACAGCACTGCACTCAACCTGCTGCACCACCAGGGAGGCCCTTGAAATCAAAAGTCTTAATACCTGACTGGTAGAAATGTAAAATTGTGAAGCCTCTGTGGAAGACAACACAGTAACTCCCCCCAAAGTTAAAAACTTACCAGAAATTCAACTCCTGGATATACACCAAAAGAACTGAAAACAGGCACTCATATTTATAGGTCAGTGTTCATTGTAGCATTATTCACAGTCATCAAAAGGTAGAAGCAACTCAAATGTCCATCAACAGATTATTGCATAAACAAAATGTGGGGTGTGTGTGTGTATAAAAATATAAATATAAATAAATACAGTGGAATATTATTCATCCATAAAAAAGGAACGACATTCTGATGTATGTTACAATATAGAGGAACCTTGAAAACATGTTAAATGAAATAGGTCAGACACAAAGGGAAAAATGTCATATGCTCATACTTATTATCTGAAATATCTAGAATAAATTCATAAAGACAAAGTAGATTTGAGGTTACTAGAGATGGGCTTTCTTGTATTCCCCTTGGAATACACAAAATTTAAGACTAGAAAAAGAAGAACTACTGACATTAATGTCCATAAATGTGGACATAATTAATAGTTCTAATATGGTGGTCCAATTTGAGACACAAAGTATAGAAATTGAAAGGTGATTAGGGAAAGATTAAATCAATGATTCTCAAATTTTGGAACAAATTCAAATTATACTTTGGCAAAAATTAAAAGTTTAATAGCACAGTCTGATGGAAGCTATAGGTAAATAGGTCTTTCTCATACATTGAGTGTACAAATGAAAATAATACAATCTGTTTAAGTAAGTGCCAGTTTCTAGCAAAAGTATATAAGCAATTATTCTTTCACAGCAGTCCCATTTCTAGGAATCTGAACATGTACTTTCTGGAAAGAACCTGAAAAGATGTGTGCAAAATGGTGTCAACTGCAGAATTCTTTTTTTTTTTTTTAAAAGATTTATTTATTTATGCATACAAGAGCTGGGGTACAGGCCAGAGATGTGGGGGGTGAGAGGATTAACCAGAGACAGAGTGGGGAACAGAACAGGCAGACTGACAAAATACACTGCTGAGGGGAGCAGTGGGTGAGACAGGAGAGGTCTGCTCCCTGGCTGGCTGGGGATCGAACTTGTGCTGCAGAGGCTGCGGATTGCTTCATAGTGCATTGCTTAACCCCTTGCGCCACCAAGGAGGTCAACTGCAGAATTCTTTATAAGAGAATATGACTGGAACCAATCCAAAGAGCCACCAACCACTCAAATTCATTATAGTATAGGCACACAATGGAGTACTATGCAACTGCATAAACGAGAAAGAGGTAACCATCTAGATATTATTATGGCATGATCTCCATGTTACATTTTTTAAAGTAAAAGAACAAGGTAGTGTTAACTGTATCTAGTTGATGCTACATTTGCAAAAGAATGGGAAGGTATGGAGATATATAAGAAAATGCTCTCATGAAACAATGAAAGGATAAACTGTAAGGTTTATAAAAGATTTCCCATGTTGGAGGAAGGGAAAACAGTGGAAGGGAACAATGGAAGCTAGACTTCTATGAATATATGCTATTTTGTAGCTCAGATCAGGACTTGTTAAATATTTTATAAAATTGTAAGACAAAATTAAAAACAGGTGCCAATATATCAAACCCAGAATTAAATCAATGATCATGCTTGGTATTGACTGGTCGTCAGTCACTTACCTAGGGAGAGTCCCCTTGTCCGCTTATTGTCAAAAACACTCTAAGGATCCTGTCCTAGCTCCACAAAGAGATTGCATCTGGCCTGGGAGTGGACAGTCCTACTCACAAAAGAAAGGAGACTTTTTCATATTCTATGTGTCCTAGAACTCAAGTCCTATGTTGTGATTAGTGGGTGTGGGGGGAAGAGGGAAAGATGTCACTATTGAGATTTTATTTATTTTTGCGTAGAAGAACTGGGGTGCAGGCCAGAGGTGTGGGGGTGAGAGGATTCACCAGAGACAGAGTGGGGAACAGAACAGGCAGACTGACTGAAATACACTGCTGAGGGGAGCAGCGGGTGAGACAGAAGAGGTCTGCTATGCCATGTGGGTAGCTCCCTGGCTGGGGATCAAGCTCAGGTGATAATGGTGGGCCTTCAGGTAGTAGCCCTGAGACTTAACCCCTAGGCCACCAGGGAAGCCCCAAAGATGTCACTATTGAAAGGGCCACAATGAAGAAGAGAAAATGGGGCTTCATCTTTAGTGCTAATGAAGTGGGCCATTCAGTACTCTATGAAGCTCAAGCCATTTTTTAGGAATAGGGAGAAGAAATGCATAGGCTATATAAAAGGATATAAAAGAAATTCTTTCTGGCAATATTCCAAAAAAATATTCCAGAGGGCAAACTCAGCTTTTAGAGATAGCTATATATTTACCTACCAAGGTCAGGTTTCTGCAGTTCTCCAACACGACATACCTGTGTAGGTTCCTTTGAGTTGAATTCAGGCACTCCCACTTCAGAAAGAAGTCTGTGGACACATCTCTGAATATCAAACAGAAAAACTGAGTAATACCTGTGTAATGAAAATATATATATGATTTCAGAATGGAAAGAGATGCAAAATAAAAGTAGAGGATGTAAAGGAAACTTTTACAGGAGTGAAATAAAGAGCAAATAGGCTGGCCTCAGTGCCCTTGCTACGAAGATTAGAAAGTTACTGTCAATAAATGAGCACATCACACCTTCCTGCAGACAAAAACTGCTATGCATTGGGAGGATTCTAAGTTCAAGTCTGATTTAAAAATATACTAATCCAATTAACAAGGAACATTCTAGTTAATTGAGTTGAGTGTTCTCCTGCTTCCCCTTTTCCTCTGAAAACTCAAGGTAGAAGTAATTGTTACCCTCCTAAAGTATATCAGAGGATACAATTTTAGGATAATAGGAACGCAGAGAAGATCTTAACATTTTCAACCAGCAGAAAGCAGGCAGACAATGGTCTGCACAAAACAAAACTGGAAGGAAAAAAAAACCACAAGCCAGAAAATAGAATGATCCTTATATTTCTAGAATTAATGTCTAGAATTTTTTATCCAGCCAAAATTCACACTGATGTGAGGATACATCAGTGGTCAAAATGATAAACAAATAAGCAAAGGTCCAAACATGTAGTTTCTGTGTATCATTTTTCTTTTGTTGTTTTTTATTCTTTCATTAAAAATAGTGAGATTTAAGTGAAAAATAAAATTGTATTTCAAGTATACAACTTTGCAAAATGATAACCACAATCAGATTAACACTCATCACCTCACATAGTTACCATTTGGGGTGTGCGTGTGTGTTTGTGTAATGATAACTACAACCAGATTAACATACTCATCACCTCACAGTTATCATTTGGGGGGGGTGTGTGCATTGGGAACACAGTCTGCTCTCAGCAAATTTCAAGTCCATAACACAGCATTAACTTTAGTCACCATCACGTCCATTAGATCCTCAAAAGCTTGGGGCTTCCCTGGTAGCGCAAGGGGTTAAGCACAGCATTGTGAAGCTATCCACAGTCTCTGCACCACAAGTTCAATCCTCGGCCAGGGAGCTACCCACATGGCACAGCAGACTTCTCCTGTCTGGCCTGCTGCTCCCCTCAGCAATGTATTTCAGTCAGTCTGCCTGTTCTGTTCCCCACTCTGTCTCTGGTGAATCCTCTCACTCCCCACACCTCTGGTGTGTACCCCAGTTCTTGTATGCATAAATAAATTTTAAAAATCCTCTTTAAAAAAAAAAGATTCTCAAAGCTCACTAATCTTACACCTGAAGGCTGATACTCTGACCAGTGTTCTCTTCTCCCCTCCCCACAGGAACCAACATTCCACTCTGTTTCTATGACTTAACTGTGTATCTTTAAGTATACATGTACGTGATATCAGTGTTTATCACTCTGCCTGTCTAGACACATCCGTGCTCTTATGGATGGCAGAATTTCCTTCCTTCTCACAACTGAATTTTATTCCATTTCATATGTGTACACACATGTATATCTCACATGTATATATGTATGTTTGCATGCAGGCATGTACCTACCTACCTATCTTTCACATCTGTTTACCCATACATTCATCAATAGACACTTAGATTGTTTCTGTATCTTGGCTATTGTAAGTTTGCCATGAACACAAACATGGGGAGTGTTCATTATCACTTTAAGATACTGGTTTTGTTTCCTTTAGAAGTATGCCCAGAAGTGGGATTGCTAGATCATATAGTATTTTTAAAAAACTGGTTTTTGAGTAATCTCCATACTGTTTTCCCCAATAGCTGTACCAATTGACCATCAGTGTACAAGGTTCCCTTTCTTCAACAGCCCTACATAATGTCAACACTTACTGTTGTCTTTTTGGTTAAAACCCATCCTAACAGTTGTGATCTCTCATTGTGGTTTTGATTTGAATAATCAGTGATGTTAAGTCCCTAATGATCAGTGATGTTAAGTACCTTTTATATGCTAGTTGGTCATTGGTTTGTCTTTGGAAAAAGGCCTATTCAAGCTCATTCCCCATTTTAAAATCTGGGTTATTGGTTTTTTTTTTTATTTTTAAAATTTATTTTTGTGTAGAAGAACTGGGGTATAGACCAGAGGAGTGAGGGGTGAGAGGATTCACCAGAGACAGAGTGGGGAGCAGAACAGGTGGATCTACTGAAACACACTGCTGAGGGGAGCAGCAAGTGAGACAGGAGAGGTCCGCTGCGCCATGTGGGTCAGCTCCCTGGCTGGGGATGGAACTCAGGCAATGGTAATGATAGCGCTGAGACTTAACTGCTAGGCCACCAGAGAGGCCCTGGTTTTTATTGTTATTGATTGTATTATTATTCCTTATATATTTTATATATTATGGATTATCAGATAAAAGTTTCCAAATATGGGCCTCCCCAGTGGCGCAGCGGTTGAGCGCTGGGTTGCGAAGCTGCCCGCGCCCGAGGCGCCGGTTCGATCCCCGGCTGCTCCCCGGCCACCAGAGGAGGGTCCCACATGGCGCGCAGACCTCTCCTGCCGCCCGCTGCTCCCCTCAGCAGTGTACTTCGGTCCCTCTGCCTGCTCTGCTCCCTGCTCTGGCTCTGGTGAATTCTCTCACCCTCCCGCGCTTCTGACTGTGCCCAGTGCATGTATAAACATAACAAACAAACAAAACAAATAAATAAATAAAAAGCATGCCTCTATACAAAAAAAAAAAAAAAGTTTCCAAATATTTTCTCTCGTTCTCTAAGTTGCTATTTCATTTTTTGAATATTTTCACTGCAGTGCAGAAACTTTTAGTTTAATATAGTTCCATTTTTTTTATATTTGCTTTTCTTGATTGTGGAAGACCTACCAAGACCAGTGTCAAAGAGCTTTTCCCCTGTTTTCTTGTAGAAAAAAACTTTTATACTTTCAGGTTTTACATTCTTACTCTGTTTCAAGTTAATTTTTTTGAGTACTCCTAAGATACTGATTCTGTTTCATCCTTTACTGTACATTGAAGAGACTATTCTTTCCCCATTATGTCTTTTGGCACTCTTGTCTAAGATTAGGTGACTGGATATGCATAGGTTTATATCAGGATTCTATTCTAGGTATCTGGTTTTATGCTGGTTCTATACTGTTTTTATGATAATAGCTCTGTAATATACTTTGAAATCAGGAAATGTAATGGCTCCAGCTCCGTTCTTCTCTCTCAAGATTGCTTTGGCTATGCAGGGTCTTTGTGGTTCCATGAAAATTTTAGGTTTTTCTGTTTCTGTGAAAAAGCCTTTGGAACTTTGATGGGAATTATGTTGAATCTGTACATGGCTTTGGATAGTATGGACATTTCTAAAAGTACTAGTTCTGCTGAATCATGAACATGGAGTATCTTCCCATGTGTTAGTGTCTTCATTTTCTTTCCTCAGTGATAGCAGTGTACATGTCTTTTGGTTAAATTTATTCTTAACTATTTTATATTGATGCTACTATAAATGGGATTGTTTTAACTCCTTTGTTATTAGTATATAGAAATTTAACTGATTTGTGTATAGATTTTGTAGACTGCACAGTTGCTGTATTTGTTTACTATTTTAACAGTTCTTGGTGCTTACTTTGGTTGCCATCTGCAAACAAAGTCTATTTACTTATTCCTTTTTAAAATTTGGTTATCTTTTATTTCTTATGCTTGCTTAATTGGTATGGTTAGGACTTCCAGTATTATTTTGAATTGAAGTAGTGAGAATGGACACAGTTGTCTATTTACTGATCCATGAAGAAAAGTATTCAGATTCTTATTTTTGATGTTAGCCATGGGTTTGTCATTTATGGTCATTATTATCTTGAGATAAATCCATCCTATAATTAATTTGTGGAGAGTATCATGCAAGAATTCATCAAATGCTTTCTCTGCACCTAATGATATGAGCAAATGTGATTTTTATCCTTCATTCTGATAATGTGGTAAATCACATTACATTGAGTTATCCTTGCATCCCATGGATAAATCCAAGTTGATTATGATGTATGATCTTTTATTTTATTTTTATTTAAATATTTTATTTTATATAATTCTTACATCTTTTTTCATCTTTGCACACTGTATGCATTTTCATTTTGTGCAAAGACGAATGTATGATTTTTTTTTTAAAGATTTATTTATTTATTTATACAAGCACTGGGTACAGTCAGAAGCACAGGAGGGTGAGAGAATTCACCAGAGCCAGAGCGGGGAGCAGAACAGGTAGAAGGACCGAAGTACACTGCTAAGGGGAGCAGCGGGCGGCAGGAGAGGTCTGCGTGCCATGTAGGACCCTCCTCCAGTGGCTGGGGAGCAGCTGAGGATCGAACCTGCGCTGCAGAGGCTGCGGGCAGCTTCGCAACCCAGCGCTCAACCGTTGCGCCACTGGGGAGGCCCGAATGTATGATCTTTTAAATGAGCTACTGATTTTGGTTTGCTAGTATTTCATTGAAGAGCTTTGCATCTAGATTCATTAGGAATATTGACCTATAATTTTATTTTCTGTAGTGTCTTTGTCTGGCTTTGGTATCAGGATAATGCTGGTCTTGTAAATTAAATTTAAAATTATCCCTTCCAATTCAGTCTCTTGGGAGAGTCTGAAAAGGATGGGTATTCTTTTTCCAGCTTTATTGACATACACTTGACATAATATTGTATAAATTTAAGGTGTGCAATGTATTGAGTTGACATATTATAAAATGATGACCATGGCAGGGTTAATTAACACCCCAATAACATCACATAATTGCCATATCCTTATTGTTGTGAGAACATTTAAGATTTACTCTCCTACCAACTTTCAGTATATGATACAGAATTGTTGCCAGTAATAAATACTCAAAACTTATTAATCTTCTATTGGAAGTTTGTACAGTTTGACCAACATCTACTTTTTCCCCCACAAACTCCCCGTAGCCTCTGGCATCCACCATTCTACTCTGTTTCAAGAAGATTGGCTCTTTCAGATTCCACGTGTAAGTGAGATCTTAACAATATTTGTCTCTCTTTGTTTAACTTGTTTCACTCATCATGTCCTCCAGGTTCATTCATGTTGCAAAAGGGATTTCCTTTTTTTCTCATGGATGAATAATACTTATATACACATATACTATTTAGTCATGCCTCAGCAGACAGGCGAGGATGTTTCCATATCTAGCCTACTGTGAATAATGTTGTAGTGAACATGGGAGTGCATATATCTCTTCAAGATACTGTTTACTTTAAATATGTACCCATAAGTGGGCCTGCATTATCATGGGGTAGTTCCATTTTCTAATTTTTTGAGGAACTTCCACAGTATTTTCCATAATGGCTCTACCAGCTTACATTCCCACCACCATTACATGAGGGTTCCTTTTCCAACACATGGCAACACCTTTTACCTCTTGCCTATTGTTAAGTCACTCTAACAGGTGGGAGATGTTCTCTTATTGCCTTTCCTTGATGATTAGTGATGTTAAGCATCTTTTCATGTGCCCATTGGCCATTTGTGTTTTTTTAAATTTATTTAGTTATGCATAGAAGAACTGGGGTACAGGCCAGAGGTGTGGGGGGTGAGAGGATTCACCAGAGACAGAGTGGGGAGCAGAACAGGTGGATCTACTGAAATACACTGCTGAGGGGAGCAGTGGGTGAGACAGGAGAGGTCTGCTGTGCCATGTGGGTCAGCTCCCTGCCTGGGGACTGAACTCGTGCTGCAGTGGCTGGCGATAGCTGTATAGCACTGTCTTTAATCCCTGTACCACCAGGGAGACCCTGGCCATTTGTACTTTTTAAAATTCAATTCCTTTGTTCATTTTTAGTAGGATTTTTTTTTTAAACTGAAATGAATGAGTTTGTTACATATTGTGGATATTAATTGAGAGATATTATTGGTAACATCTTATCTTACATCTCATAGGTTGCCTCTTCATTTCATTGTTACTTTTATTGTGCAGAAGCATTTTAACTTAATGTAGTCCCACTTTTTAAACCTTTGCCTTTTTTCTTGTGTGTTTGGTATCATATCCAAAAAAAAAAAACATTGTAAGACCAATGACAAGGAGCTTTTTCTCTGTCTTCTACAACTTTTATGACTTCAGGACTTTAGTTTGTTTCTGTCTAGGGCTATTGTGCCCCTGTCTATTTTGTTTGAGATGTCCGTTGGTGAAGGGGGCGTATGGAAGTACCCAACCACTATTGTCCTTTTCAGATTTGATGGATTTTTTTTTTTGATGGATTTTTTGATCTGCTATGGAGTCTTTTTTTTTTTTTTTTTTTTTAATAGAGGCATGTTTATTTATTTGTTTGTTTGTTCTGTTTACACATGCACTGGGTACAGTCAGAAGCACGGGAGGGTGAGAGAATTCACCAGAGCCAGAGCGGGGAGCAGAGCAGGCAGAAGGACCGAAGTACACTGCTGGGGGGAGCAGCGGGCGGCAGGAGAGGTCTGCGCCACATGTGGGACCCTCTTCCGGTGGCCGGGGAGCAGCCGGGGATCGAACCGGCGCCGCGCCGCAGAGGCCGCGGGCAGCTTCGCAACCCAGCGCTCAACCGCTGCGCCACCGGGGAGGCCCTGCTATGGAGTCTTGAATACAATTAGCAAGAACCACATTTTTTAATGCCCTCTGCATTACCTCTTTCCCAATCTCCTTCAACCTCCCCCTTTGTGGGAGTCCCACCTCAATATTCTGGGCATTGTGGGAGAGAAGCAGGTTTGTCCAGCAGCATCCTGCATAGTTTAGGAAACTGGACACTCCCCACTCTCCCTGTTCTCACACAGTAGAGGTCACTGCTGGCTAGTTCATCCCCATGCTGTGCTGTGTTGGGGGATCATCAGTGCTGATAAAATTTGTATCCTTCCACTGTGTCCAATTTCACTTTTTTATGTGAACAGAATTCTTGAATAAAATCTCCTTAGGAAATCTAAACTCCTACAAAGGCTGTCTCCTCTGTGAATGTCTATACACATCAGCATTCTTCAGATTTTCCCCAACCATGGCAGAGAGAGGTTGAGTTTGATTCATAGGCTCCTGTTCATTCACAGTCTGTAACAAAGGTTGTCTGCCTATTACTTGCTGCACAGATTGATGAGGAACTTCCTAGGTTCCATGGTATATGGTGCTAGATCCATAATTCTCATAGAGGCCCTTTTGTTTGTGAATGAATGCTTAACTTTAGTTGTCAAAGGGTGGAGAGATAAGAGGGGCATCTCATATATACCGCAAGGTTGACATCATTCGTCAGTATTTAGATTTTTCATAATGAGGCCACCCTATTTTTATTTTTACCTTGGTATGAATTTTATGATGCATTTACCTTATTATATTTTGTGATCTCATATTTTCCTTTAGATGAATTATCCTTTGTTCAGTAAGGAATACTGAATAAATTTCACCTATATTCATTATAAGAATGTGCATTATAATGTCTTTGACATTGAGTAATGTATAAATCATAGCTTAATCTTTTTCCATAAACAGAGTACCAATGATGATTAATATTATCCATTTTTATGTGATAGGCACACTTATAGAATCTACACGTAATTAGTATTTGAATGCCTACATTACCATCTACACATTATATACGAATATAAAAGGATCTGGAACAATAAGTTAGTTAATGTTGGGGATGTTACTAAGGCCAGGGATATTGGTGAAAGGGAAGCAGTTTTAGCTATAAAGTACAGATCTTTTACAAGCAGAAGAGAGCCTCATATTATCTTTGAAATGAAAGATGTGTACATAAAAAAAAAAAAGAAGACGACGACACATTCAAAAAGGGCCATCAAGGTAACTATAAGTGGAAAATTTTTCAATATTTTACAAAAGAGTGGTTTGATAAACAGGTGAATATTTAAAATCAGTAAAATAGTAACAATATATTTACAGACAAAGTATATTAAAAGCTGATTATAGTATAACATAATCATACTCTTTTAGAAACAATGACAGATTAGTCTGAGAGGGTTTGTTCTAAAAGGTTGACAGTAATTATCTACGACTGATAAGATTACAGACAACTGTGTCTTTTTTGTGAATATGTACATTTTTATTGAGAAAATTGTTTTGCAAAAAAGCATAAAATTTATAAAAGGAAAATAAAATAATCTTCCAAAAACAAAATGTACATTTCTGCAAGATAGTAATGATACTTAAAAGTAACAGTAAATTAAACACAGAATAAGACACAAAATACAAACAGATATGCAAATTTCAAAAAACACTGACCTGATATCCAAGTTTTATATGTATAAAAATATAACTTACCATCAAACAGACAATAAGGAAATATAAAAATTGGATTATTGAGTAAGCCTATCTATTATTATTTGACCTATCTGGATAAGCAAGGGAAGGAGAGTAAATTTAGAACCTCAATAAATAAATTTTGAGATGGATCAGAAATTCTGCATAATCCACAAAAATGAACATTCAAAAAAATAAAAGTATCAGGGTTAGCTCCAAAATGAAATTTCCAATGTTTAAAATATAGACAAAATACAATGAAAGGTTTTTTCAATTCACAAGTATAAATTTTCCAAAAGCAATGAAGGAATGAATATAAAGATATTGAAATAGTTATTTTTTTCAGTATGTTTTTTCCCTGTATGAATTCTCTCAAAGGGACTTAACTGGGAAAGCATAAAATAAGGAATTTGCACCTTAATTACATTTGTTGGGACTCTTGCCAGTATGAATTTTCATATATATTGTATTTTAACCACATATTCCACTAATTCCAACTTAGACTTTCTATCAGATTCTCACTAGTGTGAGTCTTCTTATGTCGCGGAACCCCTCCAAACCGCCTTCCCACATTCCTTACAGTTTATAAAGTTTCTCACTGCTGTGAATTCTCTGATGTTGAGTAAGGCTCAAACCAGTAGTAAAAGTCTTCCCACATTCCTTACATCCATAGGGTTTCTCGCTAGTGTGTGTTCTGTGGTGGCGATTAAGAGCTGAACCACTGCTAAAGGCCTTTCCACACTCTGTACATTCATAGGGCTTCTCACCGGTGTGAATTAGCTGGTGTTGAATAAGTTTGGAGCCACTACCAAAGGCTTTCCCACATTCCTGACATTCATAGGGTTTCTCACCAGTGTGTATTCTCTGATGTTGAGTAAGGTCTGAACCACTACTGAAGGCTTTCCCACACTCCTTACACTCATAAGGTTTCTCACCCGTGTGCATTCTTTGATGCTGAATAAGCTTTGAACCACTTCTAAAAGCTTTCTCACAGTCCTTACACTCGTAGGGCTTCTCACCCGTGTGGATTCTCTGATGTTGAGTGAGATCTGAGCCACTATTAAAAGCCTTGCCACATTCTTTACACACATAAGGCTTCTCACCAGTGTGAATCCTTTGATGTCGAGTCAGGGCTGATCCAAAACTAAAAGCTTTGCCACATTCATTACATACATAAGGTTTCTCACCAGTGTGAATTCTCTGATGGCGAGTAAGGGCTGAACCACTACTGAAGGCCATCCCACAAGCTGTACATTCATAAGGTTTTTCACCAGTATGAATCCTCTGATGTTGGGTAAGGTTTGAACCACTGCCAAAGGTCTTTCCACAATCCTTACATTCATAAGGCTTCTCACCTGTGTGAATTCTGTGATGCCGAGTAAGGGCGGATTCAAAACTAAAGGACTTCCCGCATTCTTTACATTCGTAAGGCTTTTCACCACTGTGGATTATCTGATGTCGAATAAGGCCTGATCCAAAGCTAAAGGCTTTCCCACACTCTTTACATTCATAGGGCTTCTCACCAGTATGAATTCTCTGATGGTGGGTGAGATTTGAGCCACTGCCAAAGGCCTTTCCACACTCACTACATTCGTAAGGTTTCTCACCAGTGTGGATTCTTTGATGGTAAGCAAGGTTTGCACCACTACCAAAGGCCTTGCCACATTCTTTACACAAATAAGGTTTCTCCCCAGTATGAATTCGCTGATGTCGAATAAGGACTGATACAAAACTAAAATCCTTTCCACATTCCTTACATTCAAGGAGTTTCTCATTAGCATGAATTCTCTGGTGCTGGGTATTGAAAGTGGGCATGTCTTCAGGAGTAAATATCATTTGACTGAAATGTTCTTCCTGAGATTCCTGCTTTCTCTCAAACTGGCTTTTATATTCCCAATCACCTCTGAAACTTGAACACTCAATGCTGCTTTTTATAAGTCTTTCCATTATCTCCCACCAGGATGATTCTATTCCATATATATCCTTTGTCAGAAATAATTTCGTGGTCTCAACCTTGATTCACAGTCTGAAAGAAAATATAAAAGCAAACATTCACTTTTTGTGTGTTCTGGGAGAAATGAAGCTTTTATAATAGATTTGAAAGACTGAACTACAACTAATATAAAAAGTGAGTGACTGATACAGTTCTCAAATATGAGTGGGCAATTTGAAAAACAAATAAGGAAAGGAGAAAAATGAAAAGTCACACTGGAAGGTGAAGGAAGGATTTTGGAAAACAGATTAAGTCAGTTGTTCCTAGCTCATGATTTAGAAAAAAAATCCCTAAATTTTTTGAGGAGTTAATAAATATACAGATGTCCAGGCTCCATTCTGTTTTGTTAGGGGATAAATCTATTGTTGTGTACATTTAAAAATAGGGCATATGTCATACCTATTTCTCAGGGGTGTTTGGAGCATTAAGTAACTACACCTGGGAGGAAAAATCTGGTAGTTGCATAATGATCATAAACTGTATATAATTTGATGGAGGTAGAAGAGAAAGTTAGTCCAGATGCAGCAGCAGCATGATGAAAGATTAATGTATTGAATTGGAATGAGTAATGGAGAGGATTCTTTTGCGGTTACAATGTGGTTTACACCACTTGATAAAATTTGGTGTTTGCCAAGGAAGTCTATGAAGCTAACCTGAGGAGAAACAGAGGGACACTCAGCAAAGACCACATAAGAATAACTGACTACTTTAAAATGCAGAGAAAAGGGAAGAGAAAGAAGACAGGAGGCAATGTAATACTATTGGAAGATATAAGAAAAATGAAAATAATTCTGAGCCCCAGCTCTGGTGATTATTGCATTGTTCTGAAATCACCGGCGCTGTAGTATGTAGCTGCAGTGTTGAGTAGAGAGATGCCACAAAAAGAAAGGGATTTAAGGGGCCTCCCTGAGTTCAATCCCCGGCCGGGGAGCTGACCCACATGGTGTAGCAGACCTTTCCTGTCTCGCCCGCTGCTCCCCTCTGCAGTGTATTTCAGTAGAGCTACCTGTTCTGCTTCCCACTCTGTCTCTGGTGAATTTCCTCACCCCCCACACCTCTGGCCTGTACCCCAGTTCTTGTATGCATAAGTAAATAAAAATAAATCTTTAAAAAAGGAAAGAATGAAAGGGATTTAAGGGCATCAATAAAAACCATGAACAAATAAATACCTCGAGCCACAAAAGGTGACACTGTTTCAGCTTCAGTCCCTTCCTATATCACTCATACAGCAAACTTGTTTAGACTGGGCCTAAATATGTCTTGAAATTATTGCTTCCATCAATAATGTCAATAGATAATTTAAACCCAAACTATCTTTTGGCATTAAAGCAGCATTTTATCTAGCTGCCTGCATTTCCAGTTTCCCATCCTTAGCAGTCAACAGTGATATTCAGCCTAGTGCTATTCTGCTCAAAAACAGCAACGGTTTCCCACTGTCTTAGAAAACCCATACTTGCTTAATTTCGTCTTCAAAATTCCTCAGTGATTTGCCTCTTGCCTTCCTCTTCAACCTAACACCATTCTCCTCTAAACAGTAAGCTATAGACAGCTACACTGGCCTTCTCAATTCTTCAGATGCACTATAAACAGTAACAGTCTACCACACACACCTCTAGGACCCCCCCGAATGATGTCATGTGCCTGAAATGCTCTTCTGTGACCTCCCCACCTCTCCCAAACTTGGCCTTGCACATTTCTGGCCATTGTTCAGTTCTTTGCTGAATGGCATATCCTACTGAAGATCTTTTCAAAATACTTAGTCTCAATTATGTATATCCTGCCATTATTTCTCGAACACTTTGCTTTCTTTTGTTTCTTTTTTTGTGTTTTGCTTTGGTAAGGGATGACTCCATATCATATTTGTTTGGATGTTTAATGTCTGCTACAAGAGAGCCTAGCATCATGAAATTAAGGGTATCTGCTACTTTAATTCACCTGAACCACAATAAGATAAAAATACATGTACTAAACAGCTAATAGAAATGAATTTCAGAATTATTATGCTTAACAGTAACTTCTAAAATCAAGATTTCTCTAGAAAGAGGATATACTTTCAAACAAGACAGTGGACCCCATGTAGTTATTCCTGCCCTTCTTAAAACCTTTCTTTTTAAAATAAACAAAAGGGGGATCTTCTAAAAAGGAGAAAACTCACAAAGTCAAAGAGAACTAAAGAGGAAACACAGACAACTAAACTTTTAAAGTTGAAAAGCATGAAGAGCAGCGACCACCAATTTAACTGACCCATGAAAGATGATACTTAGCTCAAAACCCCGGACAGAATGATTTATGCTGCAGAACCCCAGAAAGGCATAAGAAATTGGGGTACTAGATACCGTCATCAACTGTGTAGAATGTCACCAAAAACTTACTCTAGATCTAAGCCTATTTCCATTAGAAGCCATAAGACAAATAGAGGTTGTAATATAACTATCCTTTGCTCTCCAAAAAATTCAATGTCATGTAAACCCAAGAGAAAACGAAAGGCTGTTCTTGATTAAAAGAGACTGAATCTGAGTTTATGCTAATGATGGTGTTTATGTGGTCACCAGGAAGATTAAAACAGCCCAATCTCCAGGAGAGGGGAGTAGAACTGGAGATTTGAGTTGTCATTAAAATCAATCATTAAAATATCATACCCATAGGGCCTCCGCTGTTGGTGCAGGCGGTTGAGTGCCATGCTCTGAAGGTGCCCGCAGCCCCTGCAGCGCCGGTTCGATCCCGGCCGACTGCGGAGAGTCCCACATGGCGTGGCAGACCTCTCCTGTCTCGCCCGCTGCTCCCCTCAGCAGTGTATTTCAGTCTGCCTGTTCTGTTCCCTGCTCTGTCTCTGGTGAATCCTCTCACCCTCCCGTGAATCTGGCCTGTACCCTGGTTCTTGTGTAAATAAATAAATAAATAAATAAATAAATAAATAAATAAATAAATATCTTAAAAAAAAAATATCATGCCCATAAAATGCAACCCAGTAAACAGTATTGGTTGGTAAACACATCAATGTGTCAGAAAGGCAACACACCCTCATCCACAGAAGTTTTGTGTTTGGGTTCTTACCAGACCTTGCTTTTTGTTTCTCTTCACTTGAGTACTCTTGATTTGTATCCTTATCACTGTTATAAAACTGCAGTTTTAAGAATAGTACCTTCCTGAATTATAAGAATCATTTTAGTAGCTTGTTAATGGGGAGTGGAGGGAGAGGTCATGGGAACTCCCTCCCACTGGCCATTTTTAGAGCCAGTTGCTCAGAAGTAGAGGTAGAGAAGCTTGGTAGCTAAAACTCATGGAGTCAGAGAGTAAAGCTGGGTGGTTAGTGCAGAGTTGAACTGCAGTGTACAAGTTAGGGTTGAAACAGACTAACATCCCATGTTCATGGATTAGAAGACTTAGTAAAATGGCAATACTCCCGCAGTCTTGCAGATTTAATGCAATCTCTATTAATTGCAGATTTAATGCAATCTCTATCAAAATTTCTTCTTTTTAAGATTTATTTATTTATTTATTTATTTATGCATAGAAGAACTGGGGTGTAGGCCAGAGGATTCACAAGAGTCAGAGTGGGGAGCAGAACAGGCAGATTTACTAAAATATACTGCTGAGGGGAGCAGCGGGCGAGACAAGAGAGTTCTGCTGCGCCATGTGGATTAGCTCCCTGGCTGGGGATTGAACTCAGGCCTTAGCAGTGATAATGCTGAGACTTAACCACTAGGCCACCAGGGAGGCCCATTTATCAAAATTCCAATGGTCTCCTTGGAAAAATGGAAAGCCAATCATCAAATATGGATATGGACTTTGCCCTGTACAGCCAGAATAATATTGGAAAAGAAAAACATAGTAGCAAGATTCACTTCCAGATTTGAAAGTCAGAAAATGCAGCAAGAAAAAGTTGCAGTAACCAAAACAATGTAGTATTGATATAAGGACAGATATTTCAACCAATGGAATATAACTAAGAATCTAGAAATAAAACCAGACATCTATGGCCAGTTGCTTTCAATGAGGCTTATGATTCTATTCAACTGGGTAAGAAAAGTCGCTTCAGCAAATGGAGTTGGGAAAGCTGGATAAACACTTGCAAAAGAATTACGTTGAACCTCATTTTATATTAAAAATCATGTAAAATTGTTCATATATTAAAAAACAAAGTCTATGTCATTTTATATAAGAAAATTAACTCATTAAATATATAACTCATTATATATATATAACTCATTATATAATGTGAACATTCTAGAATAGTCTTATGTGCATATTCCCTGTGACCTAGCAATTCCACTCCTAGGAAAAACATGTACTAGAACATTCAGAGTGGGCCTCCCCCGTGGCGCAGCAGTTGAGCGCTGGGTTGCGAAGCTGCCCGTGGCCTCTGCGGCGCCGGTTCAATCCCCGGCTGCTCCCAGGCCACCGGAGGAGGGTCCCACATGGCGCGCAGACCTCTCCTGCCGCCCGCTGCTCCCCTCAGCAGTGTACTTCGGTCCTTCTGCCTGCTCTGCTCCCCGCTCTGGCTCTGGTGAATTCTCTCACCCTCCCGTGCTTCTGACTGTACCCAGTGCATGTATAAACAAAACAAACAAACAAATAAATAAATAAATAAAAAACATGCCTCTATTAAACAAAAAAAAATTAAAAAAAAAAATAGAACATTCAGAGCAACAATTTCCATTAAGAGCAAAAAGCTAGAAACCCCAATATCCACAAAAATATATTGGAAAAGAAAACTGTGATATAGTCTTACAGTTCACTAAATAAACAACATACAGCAATGGAAACAAGCCAGATCTGTCTAATCTATTTAATATGAATTAATTCTAAAACAATATTAAAAAAAAAAAAGAACATATGCCTGCACCCCAGCTCTTGTATGCATAAATAAATAAATCTTTAAAAAAAAGTTAGAAAACTGATTTGTAAAGAGTAAGATGCTTAAGTAAGGAACTGAGAGATCTTGTTGGGACACACATGAAAATGATCTCTATACCCCTAAGCTGTTTTGGATCTCTCTTACCAGTGCAAGTACTTTGTAATCCAGTGTCTGTGAGAGCAGGCATTCCTCTGATTGAAAACCCGATAATATCACCTTGAAAAGGAATGCTCAAGACCCATTAGAACTTTCTGACGCTCCTACACCTACAATGAGAGTCCAGTCTCAACATGTTCCAAGGGGTGAGAGGTACATGCTACGACCCAAAAGAAATAATTTACTCACTACTGCCTTGCTAGGGCTGCCGTAACAAGCACCATAGACTGGGTGGTATGAGCAATAGCAGTTTATTTGCTCACAGATCTGGAGGTAAGAAGTCCAAGATCAAGGTGCTGGCAGTTTCAGTTTCTACTGAGGCCTCTTTCCCTGGTGTGTAGACGCTTACCTTCTGGCTGCATGCTTACATGTCTTGTTTTGTTTTATTTAAAGGATTTATTTTATTTATTTATGCGTAAAAGAACTGGGGTGCAGGCCAGAGATGTGCGGAGTAGAAGGATTCACCATAGACAGAGTGGGGAACAGAACAGGTGGATCTACTGAAATACACTACTGAAGGGAGCAGCGAGTGAGACAGGAGAGGTCTGCTTCGCCAAGTGGGTAGCTCCCTGGACGGGGATCAAACTCATGCTGCAGTGGCTGGCAATAGCGTCATAGTGCTGATGCTTAACCCCTTGCACCACCAGAGAGGCCCCTGCATGCTTACCTGGTCTGTGCATGAATGTCCTTGATGTCTGTCTATGTGTCAGAACTTCCTCTCACATTAGACACCAGATGAGACTGATTCAGAGCCTACCCTAACTGCCTCATTTTAACTTAATCATCTTTTCAAAGGCCTATCTCCAAATAGAGACATAATCTAAGGTCTCAACATATAAACTGTGGGCAAGGGAGGACAGACTATAATATTCACTACAACAAAGACTGTGGGACCAGCCTATAGAGTGACAGAGCTCTAACTGTGCTGTTTCGTATAGTTTTAGCCTTTGGAACCACATTAATTTTTACATCCCCATACAATCAAATAAAAAAAAGCAGGGGCCTCCCTGGTGGCACAAGGGGTTAATAAGCACAGGACTGTGAAGATGTCCACAGCCTCTGCAGCAGAGTTCAATCCCAGGGGCCAGGGAGCAACCCACATGGCACAGCAGACCTCTCCTGTGTAGCCTCTACTCCCTTAAGGAGTGTATTTCAGTCAATCTGCCTGTTTTGCTCTCCACTTTGTCTCTGATGAATCCTCTAAACTGTCCCTCCCCACCGTACCTCTGGCCAGTTCTTGTATGCATAAATAATAAATCTTAAAAAAAAAAAGTCAGTCAATGGAGAAGTGAGCCTGTAACTTCACATTTGGAAGCCCTCAAAGAAACCCGTGAAAGTTAAAAGGACACAGCAACCAGCCTGACCCACTGGTCAAATATAGGACAATTTGAGCATAAAGTAAATAGTAACAGATTATAGTGGGCCAAGTAAGTAAAAATCTGAGTTCTTACTGACATGACAAATAAGTGGGGGAGACGGGAACACTTCTTTATGTCAATACCAATTAATACAGACAAAAGGATGGAGGTTTTAAAAAAGAAACCACTATTTTGAAAACACTGTAATAATAATCAACCCAGATGCTAACACCAATAAATGCTGACAGTAGTGGGTGAGTTTGGTGACAAGGTATTTACTGTTTCAAAGTATCTCTCCATAAACTATCAGTTACAAAGAGACAACCATTAATTTTATAGTGACAAAACATGACAGATGCTAGGGTTAGGGTTACTACCCTAGCCAACTACTGAAGTTGACATCTTCAAATATGGGGTATGTGAACACCATGTACCCCCTGATATGGAGCATTGGGGATTCATTCACTGTTGTGCTGTTTCTGCACACACAGTTCTAATTCATACCCTGATTTAAGTATGCAGAACCATAAAATAAGTCTTACATCCTATAAAATATTGGGTTGTCGGAAAATTCATGATGTACTTTTGTATCACGATTTTTCCGACAACCTAAGAACTGGTCTAGCCTCTTCAAAAAGATCAAGACAGAGAAAGAGTAATTAAAGAACACTGAAAGGAAACATAATTCTGTGTGTGATCCTAGACTGTATCCTGGAAATTGCAGGGGACAGAGAGAAGGTGAGGGTAGGGTGGATTGCTATAGAGAACATTCTAATTTTGAACATGAACTGTGGATTAGGTAACAATATCGTGTAATTCCTAAAATTTTAAATTATAATAAGAAATTAAATAACTGGTTATATAAGTGAATACTCTTACTTATAGGGAATTAACACATTAAAGTAGTTAGAAGTAAAGGGGCTTATGTCTGCAACTGTACACTGTGTTTGTGTGTGCACTTGTCCACATGTGTATTGTGAAAGAAAACTACATTTTTACAAGGGAATGATTACAATGAAGCAAAATTTCAACAGTGAATCAGAATAAAGGGAACACAAGAATACTTTGTATACTTAATCAAGATTTATTCTATCTTGAGTTTTTGAAAGCTAAATATCTATACCTATATCTAAATCTATATCTTATTTTTATATCCTCCCATTTCCAAAAATGTTCTTGAGAAAGCTAAGAATGAAAGAAAAAAATTAAATCATAAGCAAAAGTCACAGGGACTTAATATCAAAAACCCAGACAAAAATTATTTCTGTGATTGGTCATTATCTGTAGTGCCCAGATTTTGGGCAGTAAATACAAAAGGGAAATGCTATACAATGGTCTGTGTGATTTCTGTTTCCCTACAGAAATCAGTTCCAAGAAGTATAAAGCCCTAGATATTAAAGTCACAAATTAGAACACAAGAAGACCTTCATGACCTCAAGGTTACAGAAAATTTCTTAAGCAAGAATCATTGGAAAAGATTTCATTATACTGAGATCCAGAATCTTGCATCAAAGCTACCTAGACTAAAAAACCAAGGCAGACTAGAAGAAAATACTTAACCACATATAACAAAGAAGAGCCTAATAAACCAACGATACATTCGTATACATATGAGCTAGAGAAAAACCACCTAATTAAAGATTGGCAAAATATTTGAACAAGCAGTTTTCCGAAGAGTACATCCAAGTAACCAAGAATTGGTTTTCAATGTCATAAGTAGTAATGAAAATATCAATTAGGGCCTCCCTGGTGGCACAAGGCGTTAAAACGCAACCTATGAAGCTATCCACAGCCACTGCAGCACGAGTTCAATCCCCGGCCAGGGAGCTACCCACATGGGGCAGCAGACCTCTTCTGTCTCACCTGCTGCTCCCCTCAGCAGTGTATTTCAGTCGATCTGCCTGTTCTGCTCCCCACTCTGTCTCTGGTGAATCCTCTCACCCCCGCACCTTTGGTCTACACCCCAGTTCTTATATGCATAAAAAAAAATAAATTTTTTAAAAAAAAAGAAAAGAAAATATCAAATAAATGTGATAACCTTAGACAGCCACCAAACTGACAAAAGTTTGAAAATAAGATAACACCCTAGGCTGGCATGATGTGGAGCAAGAACAAGCTCCATAAATTTCTGGTACGAATAAAATACTTGCACCACATCTTTAGAGAACATTTGGCATTATCTAGTAAAACTGAAAATGTATAAACCCTAGTTCTGACAACTGAATCACACATATGTTGAAGAAACACTTGTGCACCAAAATATGTCCACAAAATGTTCATAAGTGACACTGCTGTAACAACCAAAGCCTGACAGCAAATGCAATGTCCATCAAGAGTAGAACAGATTAGCAGTAAATTGTGATCCATTCATAAAGTGGAATAATATAAATACAGCAAAGGAATACAATAAACTATAGTTACAGGACACAGGGAAAACATGAAGCTCAGAAACATTTTTTATGAAAAAGACACGAAAGCATGTCTGTTCAAATGAAGATAGGAAACAAGACAAAAATCTAAACTTAGATGGTTCTGGGATTGGTATATCTCTACTGAAGTTCTCATGAAAGGCAAAGAAATGATGACAACAGTTATCACCAGAGGAGCTCAACTGCCTGTGATTGTGAAGGGGTTCTTTAGAAATGGCGGTATTCTATTTTTTAACCCGGCTACACCTTATAGGGTCTTTAGAATTATCTGTTAAACTGCACAAATGGCTGTTTTACACCATTTCTGTATCTAATGCCAAAGATAAAAAAGCCATAGGCATTCAAATAAATGTGCACCTCTAAGAATGTTTTAAAAATTAAATTGTGTAAGAAAATACTTATAAAATATAACTTTATATGAAAACATATGCTAAAAATGCGGAATCAATTCAATTTTTAAAAATCTTATGTATGGGGCCTCCCCGGTGGCGCAGTGGGTTGAGCGCAGCGCTGTGAAGCTGTCCGCAGCCTCCGCAGAGCCGGTTCGATTCCTGGCCCGCCAGGGAGATTCCCACATGGCGCGGCAGACCTCTCCTGTCTTGCCCGCTGCTCCCCTCAGCAGTGTATTTCAGTCAGTCTGCCTGTTCTGTTCCCCGCTCTGTCTCTGGTGAATCCTCTCACCCCCATACCTCTGGCCTGTACCCCAATTCTTATATAAACAAATAAATCTTTTAAAAAAATCTTATGTATGTACATAAAATACTGGGAAGAAAGTATCAAAACATTAACAGTGGTTTCTGCTGGGAATTAAAATTTTCTTTATTAGGGACTCCTATACTTTTTTGGTTGTTATTAAAGTAGTATTATTTTACATGCTTGCTAGTATTTTGAACAGTATAGGATTCCCCTCCTCCTAAGTCACTGTAGCTCTCCCATCATGGGGCCCTGTACTTTTAAAATAATCATGTTTTATAATTAGAAAGAAATAGTTTAAAAAAAGACTGCATAAAGAAATATTTAGCCACTTAAATTAGTAAGAGAAAATCAGGTGAGCTTGTGGGTTGGCATTTGCAACCTATCACATTTTCTCAAAAAGGAAATTCCTGGGAACAGGTCAGCTGATGCACAAGAATTTTTTCTACAGAAGAAAGGCAAGTCCTGTCCTGACAAAGAAAGGGGACTTCAGGAAACAAGGGAAAAGCTACCTTGCAGACGCCTCCTGGATGTTCAGTAGCCATTCTTGACTCCGCTGGGAGGCCTTGGGCAAGCTGGGCAGAGCTAGGGAAGGAGGAAGGAGTCAGGAAACACCAGGCTCTTTGGGGAGCCCAAGTCCACCACCCACAGATACAGGTCTGAGAAGTTTAGGGCGTCCTGCTGCATCCCAGCAAGAGCAGGGCTCTGCAGCTCTGGGCAGAGTCTGTCCCTGAGCTCTGTTCTCTGGGGACAGATTGGAGTCACAAAAGCGCAGACAAAGGCGCCTCACACCTGCAGTGCTATATAAAAGTCACACAAACACCACGGGGTCGCAGCACCCCAAACCTAAACGCATCGCACACGGCCACACACACACACACACACAGGCACACACCTCAAGGACAGACAGTCACGACAGTCACAGGAACCCCAAACTCACATTCCCAGCGCCACACATCATAGTGACCCAGTGTCAGCAATTCACAGGTAACCTGCGACAAGATCACAGACACGCACACATACTGCTAGCGGGAAAACACACATACTGCACAGTTACAGCATCGCATCCCACAGTTCAGCAAACAGTCATCAACATTACACAACCACGAGGACACAGTTACAACCGAGATTTGAAAGAAAAAAAAAACACACACACCAAGAAACAGAACACGCTCGCGAACGTTGCCACAACCGATCACACGACTAAACCCAATCACACTTGCACCAGCAAAGCCGCAAATCAAACCCCCTCCCGCCCTCCCGGCTCCACACTCGCTCGCACAACCGGAGACACAATCACAACCAGACACACTTCTCGGCGGGCGCCCGCCTCCCCACGCCCCGGGGCGATCAGAGGTTCCAGGAATCACGGGTCCTACTTACCCCGGGCTCCGGGCCGCCTCACCTACCCTCCTCCGGGCCGCTCAGCCCCGCGGCGCCCCAGCCCAGCAACCCGAACCCCGCAACATCCCGAGCAGAAGCCCGACCCAGTCCCCTCGAACCCGCCAGGAGGCCCCGCCCCCGCGCGCTAGTTCTCGCGGGAGGCAGCGCGGCCCAGAGGCCTCTGGGAAGTGTAGTCCCGAGCCCGCGGCGCGGCCGGCTGGGGGCGTCCCCTCCCGCCCGGCCGCCCGGAGCCCGGACGGGCGGCGGCTGCGCCCTCCCGCTGAGCCGCGCTCCGGAGGCTTCCTGGAGGCTTCCTGGCGTCTCGGCGGACGAGGGTTCCTGGGCCAAGCCTTGTTCAGGCTTCTCGGAGCCCCTGTCTTGACCGAGCCTTTGCCCTGAGGATTCCTGACCCCACTCTCGGCCACCCCCTCTTCCAGCCAGATTCGGGTTTGCCGCCGCTCGGCTGTCGGTTCCCGGCTGCGCCCACGTTCCCGGCGGAGTCCGGCTCCCCCGACGGCCGTGCGAGCGCCTTAACTTTGAACTTGCAGTTTTTCCTCGGCACAGCCCAGCCTCAAGGGCGGCTCCCTCAGGCTTCGGCCGCTCGCCTTGCAACACCCGAAGCCCACGCCGCCTCCGGGGAAGCGCACCGGGACCCCCAAGGTAGCTGCGCACCCCGAGCACCGAGGCGCCTGGCCACGTGAGTCAGGCGTCCGGGGGGCTGCTGGCACCTCCGCGGGGCCCCCGGAGCGCGCGGATGCCCGAGGCTGGCCGCTGCGGAGAGAGCGGGGGGGGGGGGGCGGGGGGGGCCTGAAGAACCCCGGGGGGACCCGCGCCTGGGAGCAGCCGGGGTGAGGAGCCGGGAAGGGAGGACTCGGCCGTCGCAGGATGTCCGTGAGCGTGGGCGAGGGAGGGCCCGAGGGTGCTGAAGCCTGTGTGGCTGTTTCTGGGGTGCTTGAGGGAAGGAGAAACTGATGTGTGAGACTGATGTGTGGGAGGCGATCAAGATGATGTGTGACTTTGTGACCGTGGAGGCTGATAATCGGGGGCATTGTGGGGTAAGTTTGAGTGTGGACCTATCTGTGTGGGCGTGAGTGTGTGTGTGATCACCTGTTTGTCTCATGGCTGAGATTGTGGCGGGTTCTGAAACCTCTAAGCCACCTTTCCTCTAACTGTGGTAAATCTCAGACTTCCTGGAGCTTCAGTGTTAAGGTGGAAAAGTTACCTGATTGATGTAATAAGTTACAGCATCTTAAATGCAAACTGTTGGGATTTCAAACGTTTGTTCTGGCATACACCACCAAATCAGTATGACTTTTTTTTTTTAAAAAAAGATTTATTTATTTATACAAGCACTGGGTACATAAATAGAGTATGTTTTGTTATGGGAGTGCCTGTTTTGGTCGTCTGGAATTTTTTTTTTTTTTTTTTTTTTACATTTTGAAAGGACAGGTTTATTAGGAAAAGGAGTAAAAGAGGCACCTGCATAGTCACAGGTGGGCAGGAGAGTTGCCATGTCTGCAATCTTCCTCCCAGATACTTTTTTTTCTCTACTCTCTTCCTTGGGAGATGTTGGTGGGACAAACAGAGATGTGATTGTTCACTTTAATCAGGAACATCAGCCACAATTAAAAAATGTTCACAGGAAGCTGTCCAGGAATGTGATGCTGGAGAACTAAAGCAACATAGCCAATTAAAGAGGGCTAGGTGCGCTGTGAGTCACTTTCCCAACTTTTATTTTTTATTACTGTTTTTTAAAGATTTGTTTATTTATGCATACAAGAACTGGGGCATAGGCCAGAGGTGTGGGGGCTGGGAGGATTCACCAGAGGCAAAGTGGGGAACAGAACAGGCAGGCTGACTGAAATACACTGCTGAGGGGAGCAGCAGGGAAACAGGAGAGGTCTGCTGCGCCATGTGGGTAGCTCCCTGGCCGGGTATCAAACTCTTGCTGCAGAGGCTGCAGATAGCTTCATAGTGCTGAGGCTTAACCCATTGTGCCACCAGGAAGGCCCCAGCTTTCCCAACTTTTAAAATAAAGCGCCCTCTCTTTTCCATTTCTGAAATAATTACAGTCTTCTATGGCATAATGAATTCAGCTCTGCCATGCAGGTTTCAGATCGTCTCAAGTTCTTTGTGACTCCATTGTATATATTCAAATATACAATGCAAAATAATACACTTCCTTCGTTTTTATTTGGCAACTTCCTTGAAGCTGGCACAGGCTCAGTCTGAATTTTCGATAATTTACTTGAATTCAAAGTCAGGTCTTGTCCTTTTTCCATTGATAGGCTAGGTAGCTGGAACCAAAGTAAGCAGAAGAGATGAAAGGAGGTTCTGTACAAGTGAATGAGTGAGAACTAGGCAGATCTATCCAGAACAAGGTAGAGCATAGAGGTTCAGTGAGAGAATTGAAATGTTTTGCAGGATTTCCTTAGGCCCTTCTCTTGAATCTTTAGTCATGTAACTGTGCCGCCTTAAATTTAAGCAAATCCTAGAGGACCATATTCTTTTCATTTTCATTGGTGATATGCAGTCAGTTCCTCGTACATCTTTGGAAACTCTTGTCTCATATTATATATTTTTGTTCTAATTCTGATTGTTGTTTGTGTCTTGGGAGCATATTGTTTTTCTTGCTTTTTCATGTGTCTTTTTTTTTTTAGATTGATTTATTTATGCATACTGGAACTGGGGTACAGGCCAGAGGTGCAGTGAGTGAGAGGATTCACCAGAGACAGAGTGGAGCAGAACAAGCAGATCCACTGAAATACACTGCTGAGGAGAGCAGCAGGCGAGTCAGGAGAGGTCTGCCGCGCCATGTGGGTCAGCTCCCCGCCTGGGGATTGAACTCATGCTGCAGTGGCTTCGGGTCGCTTCATAGTGCTGTGACTTAACCCCTTGCACTACCAGGGAGGCCCTGTGATTTTTTTGTGGTAAATCTCAGTCTTCCTGGAGTTCTGGAATTTAATAAATATTTCTTTTTTTTAAAAAAAAGGATGTATTTATTCATGCATGCAAGAATCAGGGTACAGGGCAAATGTTTGGGAGGGTGAGAGGATTCATCAGGGACAGCGGGGAACAGAACAAGCAGACTGACCAAAACACACTGCTGAGGGGTAGGCTGTAGTATTTAAGCAAGGTCAATATCATGGGCACTGCTTATTATTATTATTATTTCCATTAGCTCAGTATATATTTCTCCAAAATTTGTAAAATGAACTTTTTATTAAAGTTTGTCCTATATGTAGACAGGTATGTACATGACAATTTGATTAAACAACCAATATAATCAGAACTGTATGGCTTCAGTGAGTTGCCACAAAGGGGACACCCATGTCATAAACATTCTGACGTCCATTGTTACAGTCTGAGGCAGAGCCTTCTCACTGTAGGGGAGGGAGGAGCTTTTGCAGGAGCTGGGCCATGATGGAGCTTCTACGGGATCTGTGGCCATGTAAGATGTCCACAGATTATGTTGAGTAATGAAACAGAGCAGCAGCTGGTTGTGCCCGCTTGTGACTGTACAGATGCCTCTCTTTCTCCATTTCTTTTTTTTTAAATAATAAATTTTATTTTTATATTCCCCATACAATTGCAACCCCCCCATTCTGACCCCAATCCCTCCCCTCCCGCCCCCACCCCCCAAAAAGTGTCTCTGGTTCATAGTTTTTTGTTGATTTTGATTTTCACTTTCTTATAGTTATTCATTTTCCTGGTCCCTTATTTAAGAGCTTCCATATGATCCAGCAATATCACTCCTAGGTATTTACCCAAAGGACACAGAAACATCAATTCCAAAGAACACCTGCACCCCTATGTTTATAGCAGCACTATTTACAATAGCTAAGCTTTGGAAACAGCCCAAATGCCGAAAAATAGATGACTGGATCAAGAAGATGTGGTACATATACACCATGGAATATTACTCTTTCTCCATTTCTTAATAACCTGTTGTTTTAAAATGTAAATTAAAATAGGTGAGAGAACAGAACTGTCGCAATTCCTGCCATGTCCACAGGATGGCGGCAGAGCCACTACACACCTGCAGCCTCCCCTGAGCTGTCCCTGGAACCTATCAAATTCTTTGCTATTTTATTAACAGATTCGTTCTTCTTTCACACGCTGGCCCATCTGGCAGGAATACTTCTGCATGGCCAGGTCCAATTAATGAATGTCTTAATTAATTGCCAGCTGGCTCAGAAAAAGTATGCCTGGAAATGCTAATTGAGTCCATGTCATGTCTTTATTCTCTATACCTGCACCATATTCCTCATTCTTGCTTCAATTTGAGAATCACATTTCATTTGTTTATATTGATCTTCCTCACGTGCTACAGATTTGAAAAAATTTGCTGGTTTATAGCTAGTCCCTGAAGCATAGAACACACATCTAGTGTTTTGTTTTTCCCTTCATGTATTTTTTCATGTCTTCCTTTTGGATACCTTCTACTTGAATCCAGATGTTCTTATATATCCCAGAAAAATATCTCTGTCATGATCTAACAATAGTGGCAAGTTTAGGCAATAAAGAAAACAGTGTTTTCCTGAACAAAGTTGGGAACTAGGTATTGTTTTTATTTTTGTTCGTTTATTTGGTTGGCTGATTTTTATTTTAGGTATTCAGATGTCGGGGAACCCAAGCTGTGAGGGCTGGAGGCAGGTACATCCTGGCGACACTTTGTACAGGCTATGGGGTGTCACGGAGAACAGTAAAGATGGAAAATAAAAGACACATATCACTAAGTTCAAGTTTAAGTCATCTTTTGGAAATGAGTCAGAAATCTAAATCTAAACCTCCAGATTTCTAGGCCTCCCTGGTGGCTCAAGGGGTTAAGTACCTCACTGTGAAGCAATCCGCAGCCTCTGCAGCATGAGTTCAATCCCCGGCCAGCCAGGAAGCAACCCACATGGCGAAGCAGACCTCTCCTGTCTCGTCTACTGCTCCCCTCAGCAGTGTATTTCGGTCGGTCTGCCTATTCTGTTTCCCACTCTGTCTCTGGTGAATCCTCTCACCTCCCACATCTCTGGCCTGTACTCCAGCTCTTGTGTGCATAAATAAATAAATCTTTAAAAAAATAAAAAACAAACCTCCAGATTTCTGCTGTAGGCTAGAAAGAAATTGTAAATAAAAGCAAAACCAAAAAAAACCCACACAGCTCAGGTCAACAGCAACTCATGTCAGCAGACAAGAACATCTGGCCTTTACTTTGTCAGAGAGGCCCAAGAAGGTTTACAAAACTCTTAAAAACCTGCTGGAATGTAGTAAATAAGGAGCATTGTGAGGGGCCAGATAAACCCAGTTTGGACTCTAAATTGCTCTCCATGTTTTAGCAACAGGATGATAAATAAATACAAATGGGGGTAAATAGAAATCTACTATCATTTCGGGGTAGGAGGCACACAGGGTAAGGTGCTAAGTGGCAACTTAGACCAAGAAAGTGAATATAAGAATATCTAAATTATAAGTCAGTGGTACCTGGGGGCCTCCCTGGTGGCGCAGGGGATAAGTCTCAGCGCTATCAAGCTATCACCAGCCACTGTAGCATGAGTTTGATCCACAGCCAGGGAGCTGACCCACATGGCACAACAGACCTCTCCTGTCTCTCCTGCTGCTCGCCTCCACAGTGTATTTCAGGTTATCTGCCTGTTCTACTCCCCACTTTGTCTCTGGTAATCCTCTTACCCCCCTACACCTCTGGCCTACACCCCAATTCTTATATGCATACATAAATAAATCTTAATAAAAGAAACAACTCAATGGTACCTGATGATAATTATAATTAAGACAAAGCTTTACTTATTTGAGGATCAGCAGGAAGGTCTGCATGTCCAGAACAGGCTGAGTGAAAGTGGTTATTAGAAACGAGATCAGAGAAACAGGCTGAGTCCAGGTCACATGTAGCCAACCTCATTCACCTGAGCTCCAGCCTCTTGTCAGGGGTCTCACCACCAGCCAGGGCTCCCTCCCTTGCTCCAATAAGAAAGACACATCTGGCTTAGGGATCAAACATCCAGCTTCAAAGAAAATAAACGGGACGCTGTCATGTTCAGGGGCTCAGATTCACAGCTAGTCACTGGTCATCAGAGAAGAGAGACACTGTCTGAGTGTTTCTCAGACACATCAGGGAAGTGACAGAGGGAGATGGGGAGGTAAGAAATGAGGGGGTACCCAGTGGAGCTGTCTTTTCCTCCCTTTAAAACCTCAAACCTTCCCTTAGGGAATAAAGGTCAGAAATTCACAATAAAGGAGGCAGCACTGTTGGAGATAAATGCTGACTATCGTGGGAGATGACCTGACCCAGAGAGACCAGGTGGCTGTAGTTCTCCAACATCACTTCCCTGTACAAGTCCCTCTGCACCGGGCCCAGGCACTCCCACTCCTCCTGGGAGAAGTCGATGGAAACATCCCTGAAAGCCACCAGACACTGCAGCAACAAATCCATTTATTATTCGTGAAAATATGATGACAGTTCTGAGGTCGGGGGGTGGGAGGCAGCGAAGGAAGAGGCTAAGACAGTCAACAGCAGCCCCTGCCTGAACGTTGAAGGACATCCGGTTCCTCAGCTGTAGTGTCACTGAGACTTGATGACAGTAGAAAATAGAAAAAGTCCATCTAGAAAGGGCTGGGAATAAAAAAGTCCAGATAAGTGCAGCTTCCCAGTTAAATGAAACACTTTGTGCAGTCACACAATACGGTGAGTCTCCACATTCCAAGTAAGTACGCATTCTTTCCCCTTCGCCATTTGAAGAAAAAGATAAGGGCCTCCCCGGTGGCGCAGCGGTTGAGCACTGGGTTGCGAAGCTGCCCGCAGCCTCTGCAGTGCCGGTTCAATCCCCGGCTGCTCCCCGGCCACCGGAGGAGGGTCCCACATGGCGCGCAGACCTCTCCTGCCGCCCGCTGCTCCCCTCAGCAGTGTACTTCAGTCCTTCTACCTGTTCTGCTCCCCGCTCTGGCTCTGGTGAATTCTCTCACCCTCCTGTGCTTCTGACTGTACCCAGTGCTTGTATAAATAAATAAATAAATAAATAAATCTTTAAAGAAAAAGATAAGCAAAATTGATGAAAACGCTTCCAAATTTTTTTTTTACCCAATCTCTACGCTGGAACATAGAAGTTGGATAGAACTTAAGGATGTTTTGAAGACTCAGATTTATCATTAAGTGACTGAATATGAAGGACATATGTATTTCCATTTTAGGGATGAAATGATGTGTTTATTTTGGAGTGTTTAAATTAAACAAATTCTCAAATGTTTTTGTGCTCTCAGAATCTATCATTCTTACGAGAAAATGCATCTTGCGGGGTTTTTTTTTCTTTAAACAAACCCACCTAAAGATGGTGCTTATGTTCATTTTTTATTTAAAGATTTATTTATGGGCCTCCCCTGGTGGCACAGGCGGTTGAGCACCACACTGTGAAGCTGTCCTCAGCCTCTGCAGCGCCGATTCTATCCCCGTCCGGCCAGGGAGAAACCCACATGGTACAGCAGACCTCCTGCCTCGCCCGCTGCTCCCCTCAACAGTGTATTTTAGTCAGTCTGCCTGTTCTGTTCCCCACTGTGTCTCTGGTGAACCCTCTTACCCCCCACATCTCTGGCCTGTACCCCAGCTCCTGTATGAATAAATAAATCTTTAAAAAAATAAAGATTTATTTATGCATAGAAGAACTGGTATAGGCCAGAAGTGAGTGGGGTGAGAGGATTCACCAGAGACAGAGCAGGGAGCAGAACAGGTAATCTACTGAAGTACACTGGTGAGGGGAGCAACAGGTGAGACAGGAGAGGTCTGCTGCGCCATGTGGGTCAGCTCCCTTGCCAGGGATCGAACTCAGGCTGCAGGGGTGATAGTGCTGAGACTTAATCCCTAAGCCACCAAGGAGCCCCAGCATCTTGCAGGTTTTCTTTGCTCCTGCTTTCCTTGTTCCTAAGCTACACAGCTGATGTGTGAGGTCTACTGCACCTGGCACTGTTGAGGATGGACACATTCTGGCAGACTCCGAGGAGAACTTGGCTGTTGAGCATCCTCTCACTGGATCCTGGGCCAGTGATATGTGGTGAGCAGAAAAACCTCTAGAACCTGTGAGTATGCTACCTTCCTTGGAAAAAGAAACTTTCCAGGTGTTATTAAGTTAAAGGTCTTGAGAAGACTATATCCTGGATTGTCTGAGCCCAGTGTAATCACAAGGGTATTTTACCTGATGGAGGGAGGCAGGACAGTCAGAGGGAGACAAAGAAACTACAGTAGAGGGCAGAATGGTGTGTGGTTGCTGGTTCTGAAAATGGGGGAGCCATCAGCTAAGGAATGCGAGCTGCCTCTAGTGGCTGGGAATAAATCCTCCCTGGAGCCTTCAGAAGGAACATAACCCTGCCAATATCTTGAATTTAGCCCTGTGAACCCAATCTCAGTAACATAGTAAGTTTGTGTTGTTACATGTCACTAAGTTTGTGGTAATTTGTGATAGCAGCAGTAGGAACTGTAGAAGATTTCTACCTTCTCAGGACTCACCCAACTTAGACTTCCCCACCCAAACTTAAAACCCACAGAAAAATCTGTCCATGTGGACCCAGGGAGCATCTAGCTGAGGTGCTGTAACTCACAAGTGGAAAATCAAGGTTTGTAAAGAACATCACAGCTTGCTTGTCATGAGTCCCATTTCATCTCCACCTCCCCAAAGTATCACACTGATAATACTTTTATGGGAAGATATTTCTGCTCCCTTGGGGCACCTGGCAAAAGACTTTGCAGGTGAAAAAATGTAAATGATCTGCTAAAAAAGAATTTAAGCACTGTTTGTTGAGGGGGGCAACATTTAGTGAAGACCAGGGCTCTGCTATTGATTGGGAGCTTAGAATAGAAAATGTAGGATGAAAGTTTTGACAAGGTCAAAAACCAGGGGCAGGAGGCAGAGAGGATTTCCAGAGGGGGTGGCAGAAAGGATTACCAGTTACAGAAAACAGAGCCAACCCAGACGCCAAAGCAAGAAATTCTACAGAGTCATTTCATCAAAGAGCAATCTGTAAGGACACCCCTTGCCTTGGCAGAGGGCAGCTCTTTGCACATCTGTGTCTCTGTAAATATTTTTCCTAAATAAACTTGCCATGTGTCACTGAATGGGTGATTCTGCCAAATTCGTTTTCAGAGGGACCCAAGAACCCACCTACACCAAACCCCAACACTCACTGATCACACTGGGATGGAAGAAGTTGCAGAACAATTCCCTAAGGGGGCTAAAAAGTCCCCAAAGTTGGGCATACATAAATCAGTTGTTCATGTTACACAACAAAATAACTGTACTTCGGGAAGGAAAAAAAGAAACAGCATGGGGCATGGTTTTCAGAACTGTCAGAAACGATGGGTTTTCTGGACTCCTCTCCTGGAGGTGTATAGGCTAGAGAAGGCGGGGTTGAAAAAGGATAAAACTCCATGTGATCAGCCTGGCCTCAGAGCCCACCAAACCAGCACCCTTAGAACTACCTTTGTTTCGGGTCTCCCTGGTGGCACAAGGGGTTAAGACGCAACCTATGAAGCAATCTGCAGCCACTGCAGCACGAGTTTGATCCCATGGCCAGCCAGGGAGCTACCCACATGGCGCAGCAAACCTCTCCTGACTCGCCCACTGCTCCCCTCAGCAGTGTATTTTGGTCAATCTGCCTGTTCCGTTCCCCACTCTGTCTCTGGTGACTCCTCTCACCATCCACACCTCTGGCCTGCACCCCAGTTCTTATATATGCATAAATAAAATCTTAAAAAAAAAAAAACTACCTTTGTTTCTCCTCTTTAAGGCAGTTTGGAAAAATCTCGGTGCTCCTACAAATCCAATGAACTGTAGCCTCAGCAGAAGGAATTCAGACCCAACTTCTCTTTGGTCCTGGTAATGCTGAGACATCTTACAGCTCTAGGACAGAAGTTTGACCAGAGAGCCATTGGGAGCAGGGCTTCCTGAGACCCTACAAACTAAGTGAGGTCCCGCAATTCCCTTCTTCAGTTGCCAATTGCGAATCCCAGGCCACCCATAACTTCTGACAAGGAAGCTGTAAATCAGGGTTTTCCCCAGTCCTCTCTTAAGGCTCAATAATCTGCTAGGATGGCTCACAGAAGACATGAAGGCACGCGAGTAGGTGTAACGATTTACTATGATGATTTACAGCTCAGAAACAGCCAACTGGGGTTTCCTTTTCTTTTTTAATATATATATATTTTTATTTTATTTTATACTTTTTTACATCTTTTTTCATTTTTGCACAATGTATACGTTTTCATCTTGGTTATAGTAGCCACCATACAATTCCCAGCTCCCTTGTTTTGATCCTACTCCCTCCCTTCCCCCACCCCCCCCCCTAGTGTGTCTCTGGCTTACAGTTGCGTTTGTAAAGCTCTCCCTTCCCCGAACACTGCCAGGAGTAAATCCTTATTACAGGGGCATCTTCAAAATAGCCTTTCTCTGTAAAGTGAATGAAACTGCAAGGGCGGAAGCCGCGAGATCCTCAGGTCACGGTATGCAGCCCCCAGGGAGAAGACGGGACAGAAGGAGCCCAGCAGCCTCGAACACACACACACACACACACACACACACACACACACACACACCCTCCCCCCCCCCCGGAGCCCAGCAGCCTCGAACACACACACACACACACACACACACACACACACACACCCTCACACACACCCCCCCCCCCCCCCCCGTCCTGGCACTTGGCGCCCGGGACCCCGCCTGCCCGGAACCAAATCCAAGGGGCCGACGTTGCCGGCGGAGCGCGGCCGGCGCACACTCACCTGGCGGCGGAGGACGCCGCTAGTGGCACCACGCCCCCGCGGTCTCAGCTCGGGTGACAGGCCCCCTCCCCCTCCCCCTCCCCTTCTACCCCCGCCCCCGCGAGGCTGACTGCCGTGAGGAATTCATCTGGAGCGCCGTGGCCTAGTGGCGACGCGGTGCGGAGCCGGCCGGTCCCCATTCCTGTCGGCGCCGCGAGGGAGCCCGGCTCTGGAAGCCTCCACCCCCGGCAGCGAGCGGCCCCCAGAGGACAGCCCCCCGCCGGCCGCGCAGCCCGGGGCTGGCACCGAGACGTCAGGGATCGGGGTACGGAATGGCGCGGGGCGCGGTGGCCGCCGGGAAATGTAGTCTCAAGGTCCCACCCGACGGGGTCCAAAAGAATCCCCAGGCCGGGGGCGCGTCCTGTGGTCCGGTGTCCCGCGCGCTCCGAGGCGTCTTGGCGCGACCCGAGGACCTCCCGCTACCGTGGTGTAAGCCGACTATTCCGTGTCATTTAAGGGAGTCCCCAGAGGTTCCCCCAATCTCAGAGGTTCCCGCAGGAGGAGGCTGGCAGTGATGCCTGCGTAGTCGCGGGCTGACAGAATTGCGCAGTCCAGGCACCAGGGTCCGGATTTCTCAGAATTCTCAGAGCTTGGGTTCGCTCCCAGGGCCGGGCACAGCCGTGTTACTGCCCGAGAGGTGCAGGCATGTGAAGCTTACTTTTTTTTTTTTAAGATTGATTCATTTATGTATGTAAGAGCTGGGGTACAGGCCAGAGGTGCAGGGGGCGGAGTGACATGACTCACCAGAGACAGAGTGGGAAGCAGAACAGGCGGATCCACTGAAATCCACTGCTGAGGGGAGCAGCAGGTGAGACAGGAGAGGTCTGCCGCGCCGTGTGGGTAGCTCCCTGCCCGGGGATTGAACTCATGCAGCAGAGGCTGTGGATTGCTTCATAGTGCGCTGCTTAACCCCTTGCGCCACCAGGGAGGCCCAAGCTTACTTATTTTACAAGTGTCCCCTGCTAGGGGAGGGAGGACTGAGAGTTGTTTGTATATAACATCCCAGATAGACATCCTTTGTCATACATGTAATTGGCAAATGTTTTCTCCCATTTCATCTTCTTAACAGAGTCTTTTGCAGCACAAACGTTTTTCATTTTGATGATGTCTGATTTACCTCGTTTTTCTTTTGTGGAGCATACTTTCGTGTGAAAAGTAAAGACTCTGCCTAGATTCTAAAGATTTTCTGTGTTCAAAAAAATCGTTTTATGTTTTATATTTAAGTTCATGATCCATTTTGAGTTAACTTTTGTGTAAGACGTGAGTTAGGTCAAAATTCCTTTTTGTGCGGGGCGGAGGGAGGGGATGTGCAGTTGAAAGACTCTTCTTTGAATTTCTTCTGAACCTTTTCAAAAACTCATGCATATTTTTTAAAAGATATATTTATTTATACATACAAGAACTGGGGTACAGGCCAGAGGTGTGGGAGGATGAGTGGATTCACCAGAGACTGATGGGGAACAGAACAGGCAGATTGACTGAAATACACTGCTGAGGGGAGCAGCGGGTGAGTCAGGAGAGGTCTGCTGCACCATGTGGGTAGCTCAACTGGCCGGGGATTGAACTCGTGCAGTTGAACTCGTGCTGCAGTGGCTGTGGACAGCTTCATACGTTGTGTCTTAACCCCTTGTGCCACCAGGGAGGCCCGAGAGTCTTCATTTTGAGTATAAAGTTAGCTGTAGGGTTTTCATAGATGCTCTTTATCGAATCGAATATTGTCCGTATTCCTGCTTTTCTCAGAAGTTATCATAAATGGATATTGGATTTTGTCAAATGCTTTTTTGCATTGATTAATTTGATCATGTGTTTTTCTTCTTAAACTTTTTATAGGATAGTTTACATTGTTAGATTTTTTTCAGTATTGAGCCAGCTTTGCATTTCTGGTCATTGTATAATTCTTAAATATTAGGACTCTATTTGATAATATTCTGTGTTGCTTTGTATATAACAGAATCTACTTACATATCTACTTGCATATGTATTTTATTTTGTTAAAGATTTATTTTTACTTATACAAGAGCTGGGGTACAGGCCAGAGGCCGGAGGGTGAGAGGATTCACCAGAGACAGAGCAGGGAACAGAACAGGCAGACTGACTGAAATACACTGCTGAGGGGAGCAGTGGGTGAGACAGGAAAAGTCTGCGGCGCCATGTGGGTTGCTCTGCAGCTGGCAGGGATCGAACCGGCACTGCAGAGGCTGTGGACAGCTTCATAGCACTGCGCTCAACCGCCTGTGCCACCAGGGAGGCCCTGGCTAGCCGAATTTTTTTGGTGAGTTTTTATTTATTCAATTTCCTTAACAGTTACAGGGCTAATCACATTATCTCTTTCATATTGTATGAGCTGGTAGTTTGTATTGTCTCAAGAACTGGTCCATTTCATTTGGAACTATTTAGAATTATCCTCACACATCGTCTTACTCGCTGCTCCATCTCCCACCCTTCCCTACAACTTTCTTCTTCCTGAGTCAGAAAATATAATTATGGTTTAATCCAGAGTTGTATACATGTCATGTGAAATCAGTCCATCCCTCATATACAAAATGGACCCTGCTATAGGGTTTCACCTCCCAGGGATTCCCAGGCAAGACCCCTTTATTGACCTGTAAGCACCCTACTGTCATTTCCTCATCCAACCCTAAAGATACAACAAAGCCTGAGATTTTACCACATACTTAAGTTGAAGCCAATCAACACTAAAGCCAAATTTTATGTAGACTTAGGTCTATAGAAAAGCTCAGATCTTTCCTGTGCAAAGTCAAATGGAATCATTCTCTCCCATCAAATTGCAGATCTGAGAAGTGATGGTCAATTATCTCTGGAGAGACTGCATGTTGGTTCCACCTCTGCTCTAGACAGGACTAGGGTACACAGTAGGAAGCTGGATGGCATACCTCCAGAAATGGGGGGAACTTGGGAGCAATTCTGGGACATAAAGAAGTTTTTATTTATTTTATTTTTTTAAGATTGATTTATTTATTTATACAAGCACTGGGCACAGTCAGAAGCAGGGTTTCTAAGAATTTTAAGCCATTTTTCTAACAGCAGCCTCATAGGGAAGCCAGTATCCAGAAAAGCCTGTTGATTTCTTTTCTGGTTGAGTGACCCCTAGGCATATAAAATACAGTAAAATGTATAGGAAATATAATTTTAAGAGAATTTTATTCCTTGAGGCATTGCAAGCTTGAATGTAACAGGACAGAGTAGAAAAGGGCCTTTGCATCCCCAAACCTCTACAGGCTAAACACAGTCTGTGAAAACTAATCAACTGTAAACATGGGATAACTTGCATGAGGATAAAAACAGCATGACTCGGTGTAATCAAGAAGGCTTCCCTAAGGAAGTATACAGACTGGGTGCAGAAACACTTAAAACTGGGTTCTGTATTATGTGATGATGCAATTCTTTTGACTGTCACAGCTTCCCAATTACAGCAGAGAAATGCTGAATAACTGAAATACATTGCTTTTATTTTTCGAAAAGAACTGTCTTCTAAACCTCATGTGCATTCTAAATGTTTAATTTCAACTAGCTACATTTTAATTTTGCAATAACTCAGGTTCAAGTGCTCAACATGTTGCTCCGCGCTCCTTAGACAATGCAGGTGTGCCCTGTTAATTTTTATTTTGTTGTAGTGATTGCTTTGTTTTTACTCATTCATTTAACATTTATGTGCTGTGGGACAGGCTCTATAATAGATGTAGCAACAGGTGAGATAAATAAAATCTAGATCTGCAATTTTAATTTCATAAATAAGTAGAACATATTTAATAGCTCAGTGTTTAGGGTTTTGGCAATACCGATAAGTTCTGAGGTGCAGACATTTAATAAAACACTCACTTCAAATTGATTATAATTTCATAGCCATTTTATCTTTCAAAGAACACTAGGAAAAATTTCAAATACATAGAAGGGAAATAGCAAAAACAAAATAAAACCACATACCTAAGACTTATCTATCACTTTGACAAACTTAAGCTATGCAGCCACACTTTTTTTCACATGAGCATTTTAAAGGAAATTCCTACATTGTATCTGATCATTAGCTTATAAACGTCACAGTTTTTCTCTAACACACATTTTTAAATAACTGCAATGCAATTATCACCCTTAATAACATCATTTCTTAATATTATGTAATAGTGGCATTCCAGGTTTCCTGCTCCTTGAAAGTAGAACATTCCTGTGTTGATACAACCTGGTGGGCCTGTTGGGGGCCTGAGAATATTCAAAATTTCTTCCATATATATGAATGCTAATAGTGTTCCCTTTCACTCCTTTAAGTGTTCCTTCCTAAAACAAATTTCCAAAAGTTTAACATGATTTGAATGGTGATGATGAAAGACTTCCACAAATACATTAAATTAACATAGTCTTTCCTTTAAATAAACCTTCTATGTTAAGTTCATCACGTGCATGAAGAAAAAAGGGATGCCTCCGTTCAAAAGCTTCTCTAGAATTTATTGTCTGTCTATAAACACAGAATCACAACGGAAAGCCTTCTAATGACTATTTAGTTACATTGTGAACTCGCTGATGGTAGGTCAGGTGAGAATGCTGTCTAAAGGCCTTCTTACACTCCTTACATTCATACGGTTTCTCACCAGAATGGATTCTCTGATGTTGAATGAGTGAGGAATGAAGTCTGAAGGCCTTTCCACATTCTTTACAATCATAGGGTTTCTCACCAGTGTGAATGCTTTGATGTTGAGTAAGTTGTGAGAGCAGTCTAAAAGTCTTCTCACAGTCCTTACATTTGTAAGGTTTCTCCCCAAAATGGATACTCTGATGTTGAGTAAGTTGAGAGAAGAGCCTAAAGGCCTTCCCACATTCCTTACAATCATAGGGTTTCTCTCCAATATGGATACCCTGATGTGAGATAAGTTCTGAGTAACGACGGAAGAACTTTTGACATTCTTTACATTCGTAAGGTTTCTCACCAGTGTGGATTCTCTGATGGAGCGTCAGGTGATAGGCACGACTGAAGGTCTTTCCACACTCCTTACAGTCATAGGGCTTCTCACCGGTGTGAATCCTCTGATGAAGTGTAAGTTGTTGCCGCACTCTGAAGGCTTTCCCACACTCCTTACACTGATAGGGTTTTTCACCAGTGTGAAGTTTGTGATGGACTCTAAGGCCTGTACTGCACAGGAAAGACTGTCCACATTCCTTACATTCGTAGCACTTCTCAGCAATATTCAGCCTCTGATGGCGAGTAAGGTGGGCATACTGCCTAAAGGTTTTCCCACACTCCTTACATTCGTAGGGTTTCTCACCGGTGTGAATTCGCTGATGGAGATTAAGTTGTCCTCGAACTCGAAAGGCCTTTCCACATTCCTTACACTCATAGGGCTTCTCACCGATATGAATTCTTTGATGTACTCGAAGATCTGCACCGCATGTAAAGATCTTTCCACATTTTTTACATTCACAGAGTTTGTCAGAAGTGTGGATTCTCTGATGTCGACTAAGGTGGGCGCTCTGTCTAAAAGCTTTTCCACATTCTTTACATTCATAGGGTTTCTCACCAGTATGAATTCTCTGATGGAAAGTAAGTTGCTGGCGCACCCTAAAAGCCTTCCCACATTCCCCACATTCATACGGCTTCTCTCGATTATGAATTCTCTGATACAGAGTAAGAGGTTTGAGTTTTCTGTAAGGGGACATTTTTTCAGAGGTGGGTTTTTTCACTTCTCTGAAATATCCCTTTTGGGGACCTCCTTGTCCCACTAACTTTTTGTATCTATGATCTTTTCTGAAAGAGGAATCTTCAAAGCCACAGCTTCTAATTCTCTCCATTATCTCCCACTGAGATAAATCCATTTCATAGATACCCTTTCCTTTAAATAACTTTTTTGAGTTATATCTGGATTCCAAATCTGAAAGAAAACAAGATACAGGCTATTTTATTATTCTCGAAAAAGTAAATGACCAAAAAAGTTTATAATACATGAAAATAGAAAATAAAACCCATTGAAGTAAACAGACTTTCTCTTCATGTACTTTGAAAAAAAGCTAAGAGGAATGAAGAAAATGAGTTATGAACAGATTGTTTGGATACAGATCAAAGTTGGGGAATCTCTTAAATATTTAAATGATTTCTCTTTTTGATTAGAATAAAATACAAATACGTCACCATGGGCAGAAGATCAAGTCACTGTCCCATTTGTTTCCTTTGTCCTTACGACTCCTACTTTCTTTCAGTTCCTAGAATGTCACAGTTGTTCCATTTTTTAGTGCTTTTCACTGGCTACTAAATCTCTATTTTCTTACCTTACACCTTATCAAGGGCAGAAAACAATCTTTCATTGTCATTAACAACCCTCCAGCACAAAGTAGCTCCCAGAGCTAATAGTTCTTTTTTTTTTTTAAAGATTTATTTATTTATTTATACAAGAACCAGGGTACAGGCCAGATTCGCAGGAGGGTGAGAGGATTCACCAGAGACAGAGCGGGGAGCAGAACAGGCAGACTGACGAAATACACTGCTGAGGGGAGTAGCGGGCGAGACAGGTGAGATCTGCCGCACCATGTGGGACCCTCACCAGCCAGCCGGGATCAAACCCACACTACAGAAGCTGCGGACAGCTTCACAGCACTGCGCTCAACCGCCTGCACCACCAGTGGAGGCCCAGAGCTAATAGTTCTTGTGTATGATATATATACAATATGAGGTTGCCTCCAACCTCACACACTGATTAAACTTTTTTTTTATCAATACCTACAGAGATGGCAAACAAAAGCACATCTAAACCATCCCAGTTAAACACATAGATGGAAAATATATACTTATTTTCTTATACTTATCCTTCCAGTTCTCCCTCTACCTATAAATGTCACCACTGCAGCTACTTTATACTTTGCAGTCACGAGTGACTGCTTTCACGGCCAAAGTGACGAAAGGTTCTACTGATTTATCTTCATTTGAGTTTTTACAACTATACACATTTCTGTTACAAATACTCGACCTGCTTTATTCATTCATAGTCTTTCCTATATTCTACTCACAGCCAAAGTCTTTTGGGTACTTCTGCAGAGTGGTGGTGGGAGGGTGAGAGGGTTCACCAGAGACAGAGTAGGGAGCAGAATAAGCAAGTCTTGTGAAATACACTGCTGAGGGAAGCAGAGGGCGAGACAGGAGAGGTCTGCTGCGCCATCTATGGAACTCAGGCCATAGCAGTGATAACAGGGAGGCATCTATAGCAATTTTGTAAGAATTTTTTGACAAGTGAGATAGAAATGAAATATAAATGACCAGTAATTAGCTAAACAGTTTTAGTCGTAGTAGTTAATGTGTTTTAGGCTGCTATTTATAAAGTACGGCAAATGTTATAAGATGGCAATTTCAAAGGATTTACTTGCAAATTAAATATTAAAAGCCAGTACTCCAAAAGGGAAGTCATAGTCAATATCAAAATAAATGGCCAAAACATTTGTAAGAAAAAGTGATAAACTGTTTACAGCATAAAGACCCATACAAATTGGCATCAGGAACATTAAACAATGGGAAATTTATCGGAATAAAAGAAGTAAACAATCACAAAATAAGTAAGTATAAACTTACAACACATTAATCATATTCACTCAAAAAACAAAGTAGAACAAGTTATAAAACATATCCTATCAAATTTAAAGGTTTGTCTACAGAAACAAAATAGTAGCAATATGGATATAGTGAGCCTGAGGGTTTCATGTATGGTGCCCCCACTAAGGGACCTGTCAGATGAAGCCCTGGAATGCTGAACATTCTCATCTGGGAGACCGACGACTGTGCAGTAAAAACAGCTGAGCTGTATCTTAAACAGTCAGTCATGTTTCACAAATCTGTTTATGCCAGATCTTTTATCCCTGCAAGCTGTGCAAATACACCCATCTCTATGAACACAAGATTGAAGGATGATGAGAGGTGGCTGCACAATGAGCCCTGGGCTGCTGTCTAGGGAGGCGGGGGAGGAGACAGGTAACTGGGGCGAAACAAAAACCCACAACGCTCCTGCGTTCCCGTAACTTCATCAATATCTTTAGGTTCTTCTTCTACTTTAAATAAACTGAAACTGGAAGCAGTCATTACACATCACACATGGGATTTAAGCTAAAATAATGGGCTTGACCTAAACCGAAATGAAAGGGTGGACCAAACATCAGAAGATGGACCAATGAGAGGAAATCTGAATGTATCCACATTTATGATAGCTGGAAAACATTACCTATGTAAGATGAACAAACCAAATACTAGTTTGGATTCTATTAGATCAAAGGGCTTTACTCCAGAAAACAATGCTAGTATGATAGTATCAGCCGAAATAAGCCAAGTAAGACATAAGTGATATATAAAATGACCAGTAATTAGCTAATATCTATTTAGATCAACATAAAAGGAGAAATGTTATTGCCGTTGGCAGGTATCAGCTTTAATTAAAAAGAAAATGAGAAAATTTCCTGATCATAAAATTATCTGTTTCCTGACGCCACTTTAATCACTTAATTTTGTTGATATAAGATGATATGGAATATAAAATATTGGGTTATCAGAAAAGTCATGATGTATTTTTTCTCTTTTTCAAGAAAAAGTGCGTCGTGACTTTTCCAACAGCCCAATATTTGTGATGGAGGCAATTCACATTAACAACAGGCTTAATGTATGAAGAAATACATTGAAGCCCTAAAACCAGAACTGTACTTCCGAGAATCAATACCATGGAATAATCCATACTAAATTCCAATGACATACTGAGTATTATCTGCTGATAACCTTACTGTTTATTTCACCAAAAAGTCAGAAGCAATTGAACAAAAAAATATGTAGTCTCCCCTTTGTCATAGTATGCAATCAACCTAAGTCCCTTTTTTATTATACACATGATTCTCCCTTATAAATTAGCTCCTACTTTCCCATCTACTAAAGATCATTGCTTAATAAAATGACTCTCTCTACTCGATCAAGTTTCCTCTTTGAAATCATCCCCATTCACTCTATAAATAAGTTCTAATGTCTCACATCATAAAATACATTTCTTATACCCCATTTCTTATGTCTGTTTTTTTTTTCTTTTTTAAAGATTATTTATTTATGCATACAAGAACTGGGGTACAGGCCAGAGGTGTGGGGGGTGAGAGGATTCATCAGAGACAGAGCGGGGAACAGAACAGGCAGACTGACTGAAATACACTGCTGAGGGGAGCAGCAGGCGAGACAGGAGAGGTCTGCTGCGCCATGTGGGTTGCTCCCTAGCCAGTGGCTGCACATAGAATCATAGTGCTGTGCTTAACCCCTTGCGCCACCAGGGAAGCCCCTCTTATGTCTGCTTTATGGCAAGATTCCTCCAAATAGTGGCATATACTTACTTTCACCACTGCCTCATCTCTCATTTCTTCTTCTATCTTGCAATAATTTTAAAATAAAGCAAAATCCTATTAGAGAGAATTTCTAACAGACACAAAAGCAGACACAACAGTATAATAAAGTTTACATATTTATGACTGAACTTCAACAACCACTGGCCCATACCCAGTCCTGGCCTCTGCACACCCACTCCTCTCTCCTCACATTTGTTGAAGCAAATCTCATTCATTTAGTTGTATTTATTCAGGATTTATCCAAGGAGCAGGATAAATATTTTATTTCCTTTAAATTTTTGTTTCCCAAGTAAGTTTGTTCTCTAATAGTTTCTAATGGTGAACAATTTATGAGTATCATTAAGTTTTTATAGATTAAGTATAGTGTATGTATTACAATACATCTGTTATGTGTATAGCTGCCCAAATGGTTCTGTCTTTGACCAGTTGAAGTTTCAACTGTTTCCTCTTCCCTACTTAAAACTACCTCATTCAGGGCCTCCCCTGGTGGCACAGGTGGTTGAACACAGCGCTGTGAAGCTGTCCGCAGCTTCTACAGTGCTGGTTTGATTCCAGCCGCTTGGTGAGGGTTCCACATGGCACGGCAGACCTCTCTCCTGGTGTGGCAGACCTCTCTCCTGTCGCGCCCACTGCTCCCCTCAGCAGTGTATTTTGTCAATCTGCCTGTTCTGTTCCCCACTCTGTCTGGTGAATCCTCTCACCCTCCCGCGCATCTGGCCTGTACCCCGGTTCTTGTATAAATAAATAAATAAATAATAATAAAAAAACTACCTCATTTACCCACTAATCCTCCATATTCTTACCAAGCCATTCTTGCTACATTCTTAAGTGATTTCTCCATAAATCTTTATCACTTCATGACACTTGGTGACCCATTTGTTTGTTTACATGTTTATTATGTGACTTCCTCACTACCATGTAAATGCCATGAAAAGAGGGCAATGGATATTGACATAAAAGGCAAAATACAAAAGATGATCTAGAAAGGAATTAAAACTAAAATACAGGCTAAATGGTTGTCATTAGGGAAGAAAGCTCCCCCCAAACCTCCCTTGAAATGAGCGGGAAATTTGAGAGTGAAGAAACAGGCAGTAAGTGGAAGCACAGGAAAAATTTTTCTGGAACCTTTGGGGAAGTTTTCTACCTGGGTTTCAGGTCTTTTCTTCATAATCAATACTAAGGGCTGTGCCATTAACAACTTACTGCTGCTGAGCAGCATGTACTCACCTAGGCTCCAGCCTCTTTTCTCATTCCTTACAACCATCCAGGGTTCCTTCCCTTGCTCTAGTAGGGTAATTACATCTGGCTTAGAAATGGAACATCCTGCTTGAAAAACAACAATGGAAAAATAAGGGAATAATTCACTTGATCAAGCATTCAGAACAAAGGAGGTTCATGAGATGAAAAACATTCACATTAGAGTTACTTAAGCATCACAAAGAATTACGAGAACACAGACTCAGGAACATAATCTGATTAAAATTAAACTTCAACAGATTCTGTCTCTTCAGAGGAGAAAGGACTGTGAACACTAGTTTCAAACCCTGCTTCTGTCATCCGGGTCTCTAGGGCCTGAGTCTTCTCAGTTGCAAAAAGGGAATAATAATAATGAGTTGGGGACCTTCCTAATGGCGCAGGCGGTTGAGCACCGCACTGTGAAGCTGTCCGCAGCCTCTGCAACGCAGGTTCGATCCTGGCCAGCCGGCGAGGGTCCCACAGGGCGCGGCAGACCTCTCCTGTCTCACCCGCTGCTCCCCTCAGCAGTGTATTTCGTCAGTCTGCCTGTTGTGTTCCCCGCTCTGTCTCTGGTGAATCCTCTCACCCTCCCGTGCATCTGGCCTGTACCCTGCTTCTTGTATAAAAATAAATAAGTCTTTAAAAATAATAGTAATAATAATAATGAGATGGGTGAATGCCTAAGACAAAGCAAGCACTATATGTGCTGAATAGGTACTATTTTTACTGTTTTATGATAATTTGCTAATAGTTTCTTGCCAGGATAGACATCCAATGTTCAGTGCAAAGCTCATGTATTTGAAACTTTCATCATGAATTGAACAATAACATATAGCTGTCCAATGACTATGTCCACTTGAGTTTTAACCAAGTGCTGATGTACACTGTTTATAGAGCACCAGACACCTGTCTTCCAACTTCCATTGCAGATGAGTGAGTAGAGACCATCCACAGCAGTATGAAACCAGATTTCTTTCACAATAGTTTCACTTTGAATATCTCAGAATTAAGCCAGCTTGTCTTTAAAGAGAAGCAATTATAGAAAAGGCAAAGGAATAGATGAAAGTTACTGAATTATGAAGTAAGGTCCTATTTAATGCATGAATAGGTGAAAGTGCCTAATCCCAGAATATATAGCAGACACTCAGCTAGTTTCTAAAAAGACAGCCCTGGGCCTCCCCGGTGGCGCAGCGGTTGAGCACTGGGTTGCGAAGCTGCCCACAGCCTCTGCAGCGCCGGTTCGATCCTCGGCTGCTCCCCGGCCACCAGAGGAGGGTCCCACATGGCGAGCAGACCTCTCCTGCCGCCCGCTACTTCCCTCAGCAGTGTACTTCAGTCTGCCTGCTCTGCTCCCCGCTCTGGCTCTGGTGAATTCTCTCACCCTCCCGCGCTTCTGACTGTACCCAGTGCTTGTATAAATAAATTAATAAATCTTAAAAAAAAAAAAAAAGACAGCCCTAACATTCAGTTCTGTGAATTTCTAAATTAGTTGCCAGAGATAAGCTTACCCAGTGACACCAAGTTGCTGTAGTTCTCTAATGTCACATCTCTGTACAAATTCCTCTGATAGGAATCCAGGCACTCCCACTCTTCCTGAGAGAAGTCTACAGCCACATCTCTGAACAGCACCAAACTCTGAAATGACAAACCCATGTATTATTTATAAAATTATTTATGTAAAGGAGCAACACTTCAGCTCTGCATGTAACATCATCCGTGTTATACATCCTTCCCTCACCCTTCTTTGGAAAAATAATTCCTTCAAAATAGACTTTTGGGGGCCTCCCTGGTGGTGCAAGGGGTTAAAACGCAACCTATGAAGCTATCCGCAGCCACTGCAGCACCAAATTCAATCCCTGGGCAGGGAACTACCCACATGGCACAGCAGACCTCTCCTGCCTCGCCCACTGCTCCCCTCAGCAGTGCATTTCAGTCAGTCTGCCTGTTCTGCTCCCCACTCTGTCTCTGGTGAGTCCCTCATCCACCACACCTCTGGCCTGTACCCCAGCTCTAGTATGCATAAATAAATAAATATTTTTAAAAAAAGAAAAAAAAACAGTTCCTTGTCAGGCTATTCATCCAGTTTTCATGCCCTGGGTCCAAGCTTATTCATAAGCTGTAGTCTGCCCATCGATGCTCTAGACATAACTACCTGCGTTCCATGGGATACTGGGTTTTACTTATTTCCAGATCTATTCAGGACATTATCAGTATTTCCCAATTAACTGGAATGTGTTATAAAAACACTGCTTGTAACAGGCCCCCCAAACATATTGATGAATGTGATTTACTCTAACCTCTTTTCCTTAAAAAACAAAAACTGATTGAATTCCCCTCCCCACCAAAAACCTGAAAGTCTATTTTTAAAGTGTTCAAGATTGATCTAGGATGGTGGAACTGGAAATATTCCCCGCCTACAGAAGACAAGGAAACAAACCAGCCTGAAGTGCCTGTCCAGAACACTATAGAAAACCTCTTTTCAGAACAGGCACTCTGGTTCATGTTTTTTACTAATAAAAAGCAAAACTTGGCAATCGAATCTTCCTGATCTCTAAGCCTGATACTGCTGCAGACTTAGATTTCTGGGCTCAGTGCAGCCGTAATCGACCATCTAGTGATTTCCCGCTTGGCTGTGGCTACTCACTCTTTAGGGGTGCCTGTGTGGAAAGATGAGAAAAACAAACCAGGAGGATGATGAAGGCTAATTACACTGAACAAATAGAGACGATGTGACCTTAATTGCTTTTGGCTAAGGACCTGCTGTGTCTTACTGGAGAAACTTCTGATGATTGCAGTGATAACAGTGTACTGACTACTGAAAACTGAGGCAGTCACACCCAGAGGGAGGGCGTGCAAGGAAGGGTTAGGATTTCCTCCACAGATAGCAATCACTTGTGAGTCCCAGCAGACATGTACAAAAGCGCACTAAATGTACTCAGAGCGCACATAGTTTTGTTCAACACGACACCTTCCGAGCAGATACTGCATAGAGCAATCAGGATTTGAGAGCTAAACAAAAACCTCTTCCAAAGCAGACCGGATAGTCTGCAAATGTGATTTCCATCTAAATGTTGTTAAGATAGGAGAGAAGGTTCATTCATCTTTGTCTCATGCTTCTGTGTTTTCTTTTTCATTTTGGCTAGAATAGCCACTATCCCAATCAAAGAATCAGAGTAAACATGGTCCCCAGAATCCATAAATGTGTCTCCAGCGCACTCTGTAATAGCTTAGTAGAATCTCTATCACAGACACATTTATCTGCTCACAACATTAAAAAGAACTTGCCTTTCTATACATTACCAAAAAAAAATTCTGTTTATGTTCCATTGTATATAGGAGTATATTTTGCTTGTTTGAAAGAATATGAATCATATAGTATTCCAGCAATTTTCTGTATTTCTTTTTACAGCATTATCCTCAATGTACTCTTGTTGATGGTTCTTACATTTCAATTTGTTTTCCTACTTAACAACTAGGAAAACAACTTAACAGTCCTTCATTTGTTTTGTTTATTTCCTCATGTAACATTGGTAAAGGATCTTGCAATATGATACAAAGGTAAAATCAACATTAACTTTGTGCAAAAAAAAACCAAACACCAAAATATAGAGTTTGCATAAAATTAAGAATTCCTTCCAGACCCATCTTCATTATTATATCATATGCATTTTCCTCACTATAATAAATCCTTTTAACTTACTACACAATAGTCCATTTTATTTATTTATTTTTTTAAAAAAGATTTATTTATTTATGCATTTATTTATGCATTTATGCATACAAGAACTGGGGTACAAGCCAGAGGTGTGGAGTGTGAGAGGATTCACCAGAGACAGAGTGGGGAACAGAACAAGCAGACTGAAACACTGCTGAGGGGAGCAGCAGGCAAGTCAGGAGGGGTCTGCTGCACCATGTGGGTCTCTTCCCATGCCAGGGATCGAACTCGTGCCGCAGTGGCTGCCAACAGCCTCATAGGTTGTGTCTTAACCCCTTGTGCCACCAGGGAGGCTCCCCACAATAGTCCATTTTATAGCTATGTTAGATTTGATTATATTTAGATATGTTGATACTTTTAAATATATTAAATTATATTTAGAATTTAGGTTACACAAAATCTCTAAAGCCACAACGTCTAATATGCTAGCTTAGACATATATGGTTATTAAGCTCTTGAACTGTGGCTGGTCCAGTTTAGATGTGCTGTACACATAAAATATATACAGGATATTGAAGACTTTAAAAAGAATGTAAATAATTTCAGTAGTTTTATGTATACTATACTTTGAAATGACAACATACTGGGTTAAACAAAACATTAAAATTACACATTCCTCTTTTTAAGTGTAACAACTAAAAAGTTTGAGTTGAAAAGTAAAAAGTTGCATGTTATTCTATACTTTTTAATGAGACTGACATGTTGCCTTCTGCATTAAGAAGACACAGCTTCTATAATTTTAATGTGACTACTAAATTTAAAATTATGTATATAGCTTGCATTGTAATTCTTTTGAACAGTGCTCCTCTAAAGTGTTCTCTAACTCTGAAAAGCTTAGATCAAATCGCTCTAAGGACTTAATTTTTGCTTACCTCTGCTCTAGACAAAGATCAAACACACAGGAGACACTAAATAAATTTGGTGAATTCACACGTGGACACAGATGGAGACGAGGGAACACACAGGAGAATGGGAGAGGCCAGGAGGAGCTGTTGATCAGGGCTCCAAGAAGTTTCAGGGTAACTAATGAGAATGTTCACATAACCTGAAATAAAGTACAGCATTTCATATAGAAACAGCAACTTACATGAGCCATGATTTCAGACTTGCAAGAACTGGTCAATTTTTCTTATGGATCATTTACTGTAGAAGCAGAGTCCACAGAAGCCAGAGCTGGGGGAAAAATACACAGACAGATGAAGACAGACTCTCCTGTGTCCAGAGGCTTTGGCAGGAGGGTTTTCAGTTCGATCCCCACCCAGGGAGGCAGATCTGGACAGAGAGTGGGCTGTCCACAGCATCCTGAGCAGATCCACCTCAATCCACCCCACCTGAGAAGTGCTGACCCCTTTTAAACAAGAACTTCCTCTTAACATTCAGAAATCTAGCTGCTCTCAGCAGACCTCTTCTGACTTGCCTGCTGTTCTCCTCAGTAGTGTATTTCAGTCAGTCTGCCTGTTCTGCTCCCCACTCTATCTCTGGTGAATCCTCTCACACCCTGCACCTCTGGCTTGTTCCAATTCTTATATGCATAAATAAATAAATCTTTAAGAGAAAAAAAAAGAAAGCTAGCCGCTCTCTAAAGTTGAAAATAGAAAATAGTAGAGACAAAAATTTCCCAAACTTTGCTGCACATGGGAATCACCTACAGATCTTTAAAATATACTTAAGCCTGCCTTCTATCTGCCAAACATTCTGATTTTACTAATACAGGCTGTGACCTGAGATTTTTTTTTAAACCTCAGATTTTATAAAACTTCCCCCAGTGGTCACACCGGCATCAAGAGTTTGGTCATGCATGAGAGTCACCTGGAAGACTTATTAAAAACATCCTCTGCAGGGCCCATACCTAAAACTTGACATTTGGTAGTCTGAGACTGAGCTTGAGAATCTGCATTTCAAAACTGTTTCCAAGTGATACTGAGGCTGCTGGTCTAGATGCCACAATTTGAGACCTACTTATCCTTCGACACCGCCCAGCAGGCTTTTATGTGGCAGCTGCTAGCACACTGGGACCTCTCATTACCTGCCTTCCTGCTCAGAATTATCAATAATGCCTGCAAGATCTAATTCCCCCACCCATCTTTCTTGGGACCCAGGCTGAGAAAGTGGATCTCAGCCCCGAGCATGATATAATTCTCTTGAAAGCAGAAATCACGCATTAGTAACTAAGATGTCTCTAAAGGCAGTGGATTGGCAGATTTGAAAAATTGATGATACTTTAATTAGTAAGACTGGGGTGGGGGAGGGGAATGGACACACCTCATATGATGGAGGCAGAATAAAAATGATGCATGGAGTGTTTATAATGGAACCAGGAAGAGCTGCGGGAAAATGCACATCTTTCGACAAGCTTAAATAAATACTTGTGCATTCCTACAATGGAAAACTAAAAAGCTACTGAATATTAAAGTAAAATTCTTATTTGATATCAAAGATGATCGCTTCACTACATTTTGTTAGGGGAAGAGGGTATCTCAGAAAATAATGTCATTTGGTTGTGTTTTGTGACAGGAAAACAATATATGTATGCATAAAATAGTATAATGTACACAAAATATATTTGCATAAATATTTTGTGCATAAAATAACCTGTGAATGGACTTCTTTTTGTGCTACCTCTGCTTGATAGTATCCCAAGTGATCTTTATCTTGTCTTCCCTGGACAGAGTCTCTTTTTAATCAAAAATTTAAAAATCTCTGCTGAACTTTTAAAATAACTATTTACTGATAGGCAAGAACAGACATCCAGACACGACCTTTGCTAAGAACTGTACAAAGATAATTGTTTTCTTCTCTTGCCATAGTAAGCAAGGCCAGTTTGACTAAAAACCAGTGAACGCTAAGGAATATAATCTAGAACCAGTTCCAATTCTTTTTTTTTTTTTTAAGATTTATTTATTTATTTATACAAGCACTGGGTACAGTCAGAAGCACCGGAGGGCGAGAGAATTCACCAGAGCCAGAGTGGGGAACAGAACAGGCAGACTGATGAAATATACTGCTGAGGGGAGCAGCGGGCGGCAGGAGAGGTCTGCGTGCCATGTGGGACCCTTGCCGGTGGCTGGGTATCGAACCGGTGCTGCAGAGGCTGAGGGCAGCTTCTCAGCCCAGTGCTCAACCGCTGCGCCACCAGGGGAGGCCCCCCAGTTCCAATTCTTGATAAACAACTTTTGCAATTCTATCTCCGCCCCATTAAATTCAGTCCTTTAAAATCCCCTTAAGAACCCTACCCGGGCATATTTTGGGGAGTGACCTGAAAATGTGCTCCCCAATCTGCAAATCTAGCAACCCCCAAATATGTGTTATTATTTTATTTTAGCTTCATGTCTTTCTCAGTCAACACCTCTCTTAGTCCATCCAAAGATGTGCCCCAGGCAAACTCAGCCGTAAGATGATTAAGTCCTGAATACCTAATAGCGTGGTTACTATACTATATATAGTAATTATATATATATATATATATATATGTGTGTGTGTGTGTGTGTGTGTATGTGTCTATATATGAAACTGACTTCAGTTTCATATATAGACACATACACACACACACACACAAAAGAGGGGTTATCCATGGGACACCATGAAAGTATAGATGTGTTAATTAACAGTAGTAATCATTCTCTTCCACAATGTATTTTTTATTTTTTTTAAGATTTATTTATTCATACCTAAAAGAACCAGGGTACAGGCCAGATGTGTGGGAGGGTGAGAGGATTCACCAGAGACAGAGAGGGGAACAGAACAGGCAGACTGACGAAATACACTGCTGAGGGGAGCAGCAGGCAAGACAGACGAGGTCTGCCGTGCCATGTGGGTATCCCCCTGGCTGGCAAGGATCCAACCTGGCTGCAGAGGGTGCAGATAGCTTCACAGTGCTGCGCTCAACCGCCTGTGCCACCAGGGAGACCCCACAATGTATTTTTTAAATAAAAAATAAATGGAGACCAGCCTGTTAAATTCCCTGAGCAGACAAAAGTAGTTTAATCATACAAAGAAAGTTTAATTTAGCCTAATTTGCAAGACTAAACCTGATCATTTCTTATTTATGTCTCTGAAAATCATACGCAAAACTTAAACTGTTTCCCCAGTTGGATATAAGGTAACCACTAACCAATTCCTTATCATTGAAGATAATTCTGTTATCACCAATCCCTGTGAAGAATAAACTGCCTCCCTCCTCACTATATAAGCTATGTCTTAACAATACACTCTTTTTTTTTTTTTTTAATAGAGGCATGCTTTATTTATTTATTTTATTTGTTTGTTTGTTTTTTGTTTATACATGCACTGGGTACAGTCAGAAGCGCAGGAGGGTGAGAGAATTCACCAGAGCCAGAGCGGGGAGCAGAGCAGGCAGAAGGACCGAAGTACACTGCTGAGGGGAGCAGCGGGTGGCAGGAGAGGTCTGCGCGCCATGTGGGACCCTCCTCCGGTGGCCAGGAAGCAGCCGGGGATCGAACCTGCGCCACAGAGGCCGCGGGCAGCTTCGCAACCCAGCGCTCAACCGCTGCGCCACCGGGGAGGCCCAACAATACACTCTTGAGAATTGTTCCATATTTGTTTTGAGTGCTCCCAGTTTTCCTACTGCCTTTTGTGTGTGCATAATAAACTTTACCAAGTACTACTCTGGCGATGCATTGTGGGATTTCTGAGCTTAACAATGTTCTAAGTCTCAAATATATTCAATTTTTTATTTGTCAAAAACAAACTCATGCTACCAAACCTCTCACTACATCTGCTGGCACCAAAATGCACTATTCCTGAATTCCTTTGGGGTGGGGGGTGGGGAATCCTCTTTTTTTACTCTGGAATCATTAAAAAGATGTAACCCTTAAATGAATCCCTCACAATCACTGTCGAAAACAAAGATGAACATTAACCTCCCGCAGGGGTGTTTCCATCATCAGGGATCCTTTGGAAAAACACTGCTTAGTGAGCACAAGAGTAACTGTAGAGCTGCATTCAAGCCCTTAAATGAGATGCCATCAAATTGGGTAGGAAATCCTGATTTCCCTCTCCCAGTTCAAAGAGTAGACCACTCAGAAGCAGGACCTTTCCAAGGAACGAAATCAAGCAACCCGGTCTCCTGAAAATCGAATGCATTTCACCGAAACAAAGGAGCAGCGCAAACTCACACGGAACCCGGCGTTTGGAGGCGCAGCGGCGATTCGTTTCACTTAAAAGGCCTTCTCTGGAGACTGCAGGGCTGTGGAAAGCAAACGGGATTCGTTACAACCCAGGTTTTTCTTGACTCGGCCATCACCGCCGCCCCCGTGCCCCCTAGACCCTGGCTCCCCGCGCCCCCCGCGCGCACGGATGGCGATGAGGGGGGCGGGAGGGGAGAAGTTCCACGGCCACCGCGCGGGGGGCCGCAGGTCCGAGGACGCTGTAGTTCGGTCGCCGCAACTGCCCACCCACCCGGGCGGCCCGCCGGGTCTGCTCAGTCCAGGGGGTGCTCCCAGACTCCAGAGGCCCGCCCCGAATCTCGATCCAGCGTCGGGGCGGGGTGGGGGCGCTTCATTCTGGGGCTCCACTTCCGACTTCCCTCTGGGGCCTTTACTCCCCGTCCCGGCCTGGGTGACTAAACTTGGGGGTGCGCAGGGTCTCCGGCTCTCCCACCGCAAACAGGCCGCGCCCACAAAGAGGGCCCGGCGCCCACTTACTGCCGCGCGCGCTCACCCCGCGCCGTCCCAGCCTCAGGACCCCTGGCCGGCCCCACGCGGGGAGCACATGGTGGCCCGAGGCTCCAGGTCCGCAGCCCCGGCCCCCCGGGCGGGCTCCTCCGGGAAAGCAGCGGCCGCGACCGGCCCGAGCTCCGGGGATCCGGCTCGCGGGGTGGGAGGAGCGCCCAGCCCTCCGGCTGCGGCGCGGGCAGCTCGCGGGGTGCCCGGCTCGGCCCGGTGTGCGCAGGCGCGCGGGGCGCGGGAGGGGGCCGGGCCCCACGGCTCGCGCGGGGCTGGGAGGGGCGACCCGGGTCCGCACCCGCGGGTTGGCCGAGCCAGGCCGCCGGGCTCCCGCCGGGCCGGGGTGTCCAGGTCCTCAGGCCTGTAAATGCAACCCCGTAAGTGACCGTGGATAATCTGCGCCCGCCCCCCTGTGGAAAATGCATCCCAAAGCGAGAAGCGCTCTCTGTGCCGGCTTTTCTCGCTAGTTTCTGGGTTCTGCACCCCGCGTCGGCTGCGAGCGCCGCCCCGCCCCCGGCGGCGGAGCGCGGAAGCTCCGGGGAATTATTGTTCCTGATTTAGGGTGCAGTTGCGCGGACGGGAGGCGAACCCGGGGCTCCTCTGGGGAGGGGGGCACTTGGGGAGCGGGAAGAGGCGGGCGGCAGGAAGGGGGGAAGGTTGGCGCGAGGGTCCAGGTTTGAGCCTGGGTGTCCAGATCTTGAGGCTTGTGATGGCGACGCGGGTACCCCAGTCCCGCCAGTGTGGCCCCGAGGCGCGGGCTCGGGGTGGCGGGCACCGGGGCACCTGCGCGCGTGATCCCGGGCGGTGGCGTCTCTCGTGCTGGGAGCTGTTCTCCGCGTTTGCCCCTCTGTGGGTGCAGACCGGGGCGGCCCCACAGCGAAAACTGCCACCTTCTTGCTTAAACCCGGGGTTTAGGCGGCTCGTGGGTTACTTTGTGAAGTGCCTGCAACTGTGCTCGTCCTTGGAGTTAGTGCGCCCGGAAAGAAAGCACCCCCATAACCGCCCTCTTTAACATGAAATTATTTTGAGCTGAAAGCAATAAAGATGCATCCAAAGCAGGTAAATCTCTCCCCGCTGTTTCCCACAGTTTGTCACTTTGGAAACCGGAAGCTGCTTTTCTTTGTCCTGTCACTTTTCTACAAATTTATTGTCCTTTGTTGGAGATACTGTATACGGAGTGCGAAGCTACCATTTTGCGTTTTCCTCTTAGGTTTCGCTCACGTGATGTGCACAAACGTATTCTCTCTCTTCACCTGTATTTTTGTTGAAGAGCCAGCAGTAAAGTTATCCTACTCTGCATCTCCACTGTGGTTATTTCTGGGATGGTTTTGATAGGCCCCCCATTTCTGGCTCTGCTTTGACTATGCGCTGTGTTTGTGGGTCACTGTGTTACTGAGTGCTGGGGTTTTGATGATGCGCTTGTCTGCCATTCATTGTGCTGTCAGGACTGCGATGCTGAGTACAATAGCTAAGGACGGAAAAAGACCCTGGAAAAGAGGGCCCCCCAGGTGGCTGGGGAGTTAAAGTCTCAGCGCTGTCAAGCTATCGCCAGCCACTGCGGCGTGAGTTCGATCCTCAGCCAAAGAGCTGACCCACATGGTGCCGCAGACCTCTCCCGTCTCACCCCCTGCTCCCTTGCAGGGTGTTTCAATAAGTTCTCCTTTCCTGTTCGCCACTCAATCTCTGGTGAATTCTTTCACCCCCGTGCCTTCCACCTCACCCCAATATTTCTCCCTACAACACCCACCCCCATCCCGGAGCGGGGTGCCGTCCCCTACTGCCCCCAAGGGCAGGTCCCGTCTAAGGTGTCCAGTCCTCATCTCCCCACTCTATACTGCTGGAAACCGATGGCTCATCTCACGCCTCCCCCAAGCACCGCCCCCCAAAAGTGCGTCTGAGCAGGTCGAGGATGAAGTTTGGATTCCCCAAACCTCCAGGAGAGCACCACTAAATAGGTGAGATTGTGCACTGTGACAATTAGCTGCAACCTTCCTCCAATCCGCTCCACCGTGCGTGTGTGTGTGTGTGTGTGTGTTTTGATTTTAAGGGGGTGTGTATGCGGGGAGGGGGTGTGTCTCATAGTCTGGACTACAATTCCCAGAAGTCCTTGCTTCTCAAATGAATAACCGCGAGAACGTCAATATCCACCGGAATGAGCAGTTCTGAACGCAAAAAGCCAATTTCCCCGGAATATTGATGGGGAATGAGGATCTATCTCGCATGGGCGCCGCTCGGGGAACTGGAGCTGGAGCTTCATGAACCCTCAAGGCATTGCATTTCAGGCTGGGGCGAGTCCTTTGCTCCTGGATCAGCCGCGGGGCAAAGAGGGACTGCACGATTTAGCCGCGCTTCCCCGTTACCCTTCTGCCAGCGCCGGTACATTTTGGGGGTCTGCGCGCCAGGGGTGCGTCCCCAGGAGAGCAGCCGCCTCCAGACCTGAGGACCATTTACCGGAGCTCCTCGGGGCGCGCTGCGCAGCTCTGCGTCAGCCCCACTGAGGCCTGGCGGACGAGACGGACAGAAAGGGGAGGGTGGAAATGTTACCGGAGCCCCAGTTCTTGAGATCTGCGAGAAATAGAAATAACAGAGACTCCAATCCCGCAAGTACCAAGCAGGAAGTTAGACAAGCATATACAACTGAGCAGAGGGGAGTCAGCATCAGGGAGAGGGTCTCTGTGCTACTCCCCGAGAAACAGGCGGTGCTCTATTTAAGCAGTTTTAAAATAGTTCTCCAGGCTGCAATGAGCTTTCTCAGGAAGGCGGCTGAGGAGGGGTCGGAGGAGGGAGGGTTCGGGTCGTCCTAGAGATACAGCCCTAGGTTGCCAGAAGCCATGCTACAGTTTTGTGGAGTTTCTTAAACCAGACATTTATAGTCATTTGTGCCAAGAGATTTTGCAGTTCTCAGTCTTTCTATCATTAGCTGAAATAATATGTCTTGCTAAGGGAGAATATTTATGACGTTAGCTGACAGTGTTTCCAGGAATAGCCCTGTTTAGTGCTGTGGAACAGCTGTGGATGTGCAAGATTTTTAGCGTCCCTGGCTCCACTAACACATTTCTGTCACTGTAATAACAAAACGTGTTCCCACACAGTTCCAAATAATACCTTACCCCCACATCAGAGAGGGAATTTATCACCCATTAGGAATCATATACTCAGTGATAAATTTATCTGGCCAAAAGAGATGTGACATTAAGAGATCCAACATCATGGTCAGAAAGACAGCTGTGTACTGAGCCAGGGAATCTCCTATAATCTTCAGCTGAGTACTGATCAGTTCGTATGCATGAAGAAAACACCCTGAAGCTGTGGAACCACTTGAAATGAGTGGGAGAAATAATCTTCCATAACTCAGATAACTCCAGAAAGAGCGAAGTTACCAATAGCCGAAGTGGAAAAAGCCTTTTGATAAATGGAGCATTGACCCCCGCCCCTCAAAAGGAGACTTTCTTAAAAAGAATTACTCCTGATCTTTAAAAATGAAAAGATCTTAACTTTAAAAAGCTGTCCAGACCCTGCATGATAAAACTTAAAATGAGACTTGAAAGGATCGAACTGTTTCCAAGCTTATAGAAAGAAGCAGGGAAATGAGACACAATGAAGAGAAAATTTGATTACTGCAGTAAAAAAAAAATCAGTTTTTACTGGACATACATTGTAAAAGTATATTTTTCTACTTTTCAAAGAGTTCACACCGACAGGGATCTCAAAAAGGACTCAAATCTGTCCTCTTTTTCTACAGTGAGAATATATTATACAGTCTCATTGTATCCAGCCTTTCTCACCTGGAAACGTGGCTTTGCTATTTAATGTGAATTCGTACACCTTAGCTAGCCATTTTGTCCTCAGAAGCTTCAACTCGATATTGGAAAGAGTGAGCACGTGGATCAGGTGCAAGGAGCATCCTTAGGAAGAGACACAGCGTGGCTCCATGAGGAAGCCCCATCCAGGAGCTCACACTCAGACTGATGAGAAAATATATTATTGAGCAAATGAATATAATAAAGATTCCAGCAGAACTTCCAGCCCAGGTGCAATGAACATTCCAATGCAGGCGTAATCAACAAGTTTGCTTACAGCACCTTCCCTTTCAAGATTCATGGCCAGGGCCCCAGCACTCTTATCTACCAGGTCCGGCAGGCAGCCCGCCAAGCTGGTCTCTCTCTCCCCAAGGCCATCCCCGAATGCCTCCATCTTTCCCCCTCGCCTTGCCCTCCTTGTCTGGGGACTTTGCCGCAAATGGTTGTGCTTGCTGAAAAACGATGCTATCAATGTAACATCTATGGAGACAGTTGTGTATAAAAGGAACCCCTGGTCTTTATTGGGTGCTCAGACCTTACTGGGCTACCCAGGTCTGGGACCGCATGCATGAATAATAAAGCTCCCGACCTCACCATTCCTGAAGTACCGCTTGTTCTTCCTCTGCCTGGGTAAAAGGCTACAATTTATTTCTACAACAAGGCCAGATCGCAGTGGCCCTCGGGGTCACATCACTGGTTCCACGGGACGCCCCTCTCACAGGCCAAGGGCCTCGGGAAAGGACAGTCCCCTGCCCGGGGTTCCCTGATGGGGTCCCACTCCGTTCCCCTCTTCCAGCTTTGGGTTGGGGTGCGGGCGTGGGGTGGGGAGGTGGGGTGGGGGGGGTGTCTCTGAGATTTCCCTGGGGCCCAGTCGGTGCCTCCAGCGTTCGGTCAATGTGCGCGTGCGCACGCGCAGCCCCGGCGGCCACTCCCAGAAGTCTCCGGGGCGGGGGCGGGGCCACTGTCCGGGACTGACGGGGCCCGGAGTCGCTCTCCAGCCACTGACCCCTGACCCCTACGTCAGACACCTCCGCCTCTCCGTGACGCCCCTCCGCGGGAGCCGCCCGCGACGCCCCCGAATGGGAACCCCTAGGCGCGCGCCGCAGCCCCGGCCCGGTGGGTGCTTGTGTCCCCGGAGGAAGACGGGAAGGGGGCGTGTGGGGACCGCGGGCCGCGGGGGCCGCTACGAGCCCCGGACAGGGCGTGGTCGTGCTGGGTGACGGGGGCCTTCATGTCACGTGGGGGGTCGCTGTGGCGAGTGGCT